ATATTTTCAATGTAATTTAAATGACATTTTCTTACTATATTTAGTTTAATTTACATGCAGAATGTACATAACTATGATAAGTAACCAACACTGAAAAAAAAAATTGTTGATTTCATTAAAGTTATGCTCTGAAATGTTCCCACAAAACAACTTCTGTCATACTGTTTGGCTTAATAACAAACTTTCATAGGTCCATTTTTATATTTAATGACAAAATTCCTTAATCTTAGCATATTGCCAATATATCGATATTACAAAATCGTATTGCGATACGATACATTTTGTCATTGTATTGCAATATATTGAAATATCGATATTATTGCCCAGCCCTAGAGCACAACCTCTGATCCAAAATATGCCAATACATAATGAAAGGTCTATTTCTGAAGATCAAAAAACATTTTTTTTTTTTGGATCGTGGGCTGTGCTCATATTTTAATTCTTTGTTGAAGGTAGTCAAATACGTATATTTTCTGCAAATTTTAAGAACATTTCAATTTCTCAAAGCCTGTTTTCAAATATTTGGATTCTCAAAATAAAATTTCATTATAGAACATGAAAGCATCAAGTGTCTACTTTATTTTGATATATGAAAATGGAAAGAGGGTGATAGTTAATTAATTGATATAAGTACAGGGCCAATTTATGCATAAGATGGCTCTTGCTCTTTTTCACTTTTTTTTAAGAACGTATGTGAAATCAAAACTAACTAGAGGTACTGTGAGCAATGAGCCCTCTAAATGATACCCCCACCTCCAATATGAATATAATGGAAGTGTCCATGTTTTGCTGAGGGAAACCAAAAATATGTATCGAATCAAAAAGTAAAATAGGAGGTGCACAATGGCAATATGTAATAAAGAAAAGATTCAGTAGAAGGCAGAGGGTAAGGTGGCTGTGTAGGATAATAGACCCATAAAATTTCCATACAAAAATTTCAAATGGGAAAGCACACCAGCACACCAGCCCTGGATGCGCCTTTTTCGGGAAGTTTCTAGTATCCGGTCCCCAGAATCACGCGATTGTGCATGAGCAGTTATTTCCCTTGCCGTTGCTATGCTGAACGTAAACAAACCGCAATTTCCCACTCGCTTCAACAAAATGCATCCGATGGAGTGATTAGGGTTAGGTTATATAGTTTTTAAAATTGGGGTTGTTTTATAAATCTACTCTGTAATCTTCCTGACTTTGGGCTAATTTATGTGATTTTTGCATACAAAAGGCACTACTATAAGTGCCTTTTCTGACCAAAAACTTGCATGAATCAACCCAATGTCGAATCGTGCTGACATATCATCTTACACTTTGGTTTAGTTCATGAAACTTTTGTTTAACAAAGAACATGAAAGTTTTATGGAAAGTTCAGTTGAATCAACTCTAATGTCGAAACATGACCAATTTTGAGCGCTGAGTTTAGGCAAGTTATTGTAAAAGCGACTTACCGTTAACTGCAGTTTGATATCCTGACCTCCTAGTGTCCATATTCAGAGTATTGTTCCTTTCAAATTGATGTTGATGCTCAATTCGATCAATCAATGACTAGTAATTAGCTATTATTTGTTAAATCCATGTATTTCTCACAAAAATCTCACAATTCAAGAGCATTACACTTTGATTTTTTGTCGATCGCTCACGCGATCATCTATATATTGTACATCGCCTTCGACGGCACCTATTTTAGCGCCATATTTACAGGGACCGGTATACTAAAAGTGTTTCCCTTTGTTAAATTTAACTGATAGTAAGGCACATGCTAAACATGTATTTATACATGTTAATTAGCATGTGCCTTACTATCAGTGTTGGTAGTCTGTTAGTTACTGCTCCTCCTTCCATCACTCTATACTTATCTCCCTTGATGGCCCCATTTGAAGCCCCCTCCCCTCTCACATTTCTGATAATCTTGTTAACCCTCTTACTCCCAACAGATTAAAACAATTACTGCATGACTGCAGAGTGGAATGAAATCGGAACTTCTCATGTACATGCCTTAGCTATTGGAAAACAAATTAATTTGTTTAATATTAATTTTATTTATATGATTCACGTTAATAAATAATTTTGAGGATTGTGATTTGATCATCATATATCATTAAGTTCAATAAATTATGAATTATGTCACAAAGCATATTTTGGACTGTTGGAATGCATGTCCATTTTATGCTTTTCAGAAATGATTTTTCTGTCATCAAAATCTTATTCTGCATTTTCTATGACTGACACTCTGACTCACAGTAATGTACAGCACTGTCCTGCCCATTCAGGTACCTCTTAATGCCTCCACCCTACACAATGTATAATGCTCCATGTCGCCTTCCTAAAAAGTCTATTTTGTGTGTCACATACCAAAAGAATCAAAATATGAAAAAATCAAAGATAGCTAGATAAAGTTTTCAAAGGAAAATCCTGACAATAAAGTATAGGCCTACTACAGAATGACATAACTAACCTGGTTGCTGGAGATCACAGCGTGGACACGTCGTTTAGCGCTCAGTAGCAGGTGTGAGATTCCTCGCGGAGCTCTAGGAAGATCTCCGGAAACTGTTTAGATCTCTCACCTGTTGGTTAAAGCCAAATTCTGCTAAAAATAGATCCGCGTGAATGTAGTCGTCAGCAGACGCCTCGTTGCAGTTGACCTGACGGGGTCAGCTCAGTCCGACAAAAAGGCCCAATTTAACTTGTTGGGAGATTTTTCCTTTGGGGTGAATGTGAGAAATGCGAGTATAAATTGTAAAATAATCTGTATCCATGGGTCTCTTTGAAATCAAGAATTTGCAAGAATGCATTACAATTACTGCAGCTGATGTAGATGACGTCATATTCAGATGTCCAACCCTAAGAGACTTTTTGGGGCTTGAAATTCGAACTATATCTATTTATTACTCTCTCTCTCTCTCTCTCTCTCTCTCTCTCTCTCTCTCTCTCTCTCTCTCTCTCTCTCTCTCTCTCTCTGCCCATACACAAATCCCACACCCACTGAAAAACGACTGTCTCAATAATACGTTATTTTATAAAATTTAATGAAAAAAATTAGATTGTCGATCCTATTAAATATAGTGCGGAGCTTGTATTATTACCCTTCTGCATTTCATTTAACTATACAGAGCTCGTTAAATTTTGTCACCCCAACCCAGCCTCCTCGGAACAATATTATTCGCCACAATCTCGGTGGAGATTCTTTGGTCGTGGTCAATGGACGCCCACAGTGGGCGTCAAAGACCAAATCCCTATCCAGAATCTCCACCGAGATTACTGAGATTCGCCACAGGGCCATGCGTCGTACGTCAAAAAAAAATTATCGTTTCCTTTGAAAACAAGATGTGTCCGTGAAACACTTTAGACACCCATTCGACAATTTTTTTTTAGCGAAGGCTTAAGTCTCATATAATGCAAGTAAAACTCCGAGATCAGAAGGTAAAACGTCCTACTTGTGAAATAAATGAAAACACAAGCACCGACCATTCTGGTTTCAAAAGTTATGACCGAGGATTAAAATTTTGAAAATTAATTCAAAATTAATGATACCCAGGGACCAGGAGAAGGCCTTGTCATTAGAAATTCATATATGAAATATAAAAGTCATAACACCAACTGTTCAAAATTTATGACAAACTGTTAATGTTTTGCAAAAGAATGTCAAGGTTAAAAGGTCAAGATTGTAGGTGTCTAAAGAATATCTTGTCACAAAACAATTGCATGTGAAATATGAAAGTCATGGTTCTAACACTTCAAAAGTCAAGGCCAAGGTTAAAGTTTTTTTTTTTTTTAAGTGCGTCAGGGTCAAAAGGACATGTCATTAGAAGCACTATTTAGTGTTCGAAAGAAATGACCAAGGTTAAAGCATGGAAAGAACAAGGTTCACGTAGGGCCTTTTTTCCCTGTGAATTTCTGAAAAAGCGAAACCTTTTCTGACTTTATCTTTTAGACTCTTGGTGACTGCATTTCTATTAAAAAAAATTGACGTAATTTTCCTCATAGCTTCAAAAAATCGATTAAAAATTCCATTTATTTTAAAAGCTGTTTTTTCAATCTTTTGTATAGAGCGCAACCTCTGATAGAAATATATGCTTTATTTGATTAAATAACTGTTTCTGTAACTTTCTGAGGATAAAAAAAGTTGTATTTTTGGGATCGAGGAATGGGCTCATATTTTTATCCTTTGCTGAATGTAATCAAATAAATTTATATTAATTCAATAACATCACGATTTCACAAGACCTGTTTTTTGACACCCATCGATGTTGGACATCTGAGTGAGATCGATGTTGGACCTGTCGATGAGATGTTGGACCGCTTAAATCATACAATCTATGGAGCTTAATCTCATGTCATTACAAGATATGTTTGTGAAACACTGATGCCCCCGTATGGCAGCTTATGGCGAGAGTTGAATTCTCTCAAATGCATGTCAAACTCCAAAGGTCAAGGTCAAAAGTGTTGGTACCCAAAACAAAGGTTGTGTTACAAGGAATACACCTGTGAAAAATGAAAGCCCTAGTTCTGACTGTTCAAAAGTTATGAACAAGGTGAAAGATTTAAAAAGTGGGTCAAACTCATAGGTCAACGTCAAATGGTCACAAACATTTATACCAGCTGAAAGGTTACACTTGTGAAGTATATGAAAGCCCTAGCTCCAACTGTTCAAAAGTATGGCCAAGGTTAAAGAGTAGTATTTTTTTTTTGTAAAAGTAGGTCAAACTCTAGGGTCAAGAGGTCAAATGTGGTACCCAGAGAAAGGTCATACCTGTAAAATATGAAAGCCATAGCCTCACCAACTCAATAGTTCTGGGCTAGGTTAAAGTTGACAACAGACAGACAGAAAAACAGCTAGACAGACAGGAAGGACAAAAACAATATACCCCGGGATCTTTCGATCCAGAGACATAAAATGATGTTAAAATGTTTTTTATGAGAATGCGAGAACTTTACAACTCGATGTTGATCATTTCGGGAAAAAGTGGAGTCCATGTTTTCTCTTTATAATCACTTTACTGCTCAAACTTCCGGTTTGAATTCACCGACGTATCTCAACTTTTTAACAAATAGTAACCCATAAACATCTAATGAGAACCTCTTTGGCACTGTAACTATTTTTACAAGTATACCACTTATTCCATCCAAGTTGAAGGAAAGAACATTCCTGTGAAGGTGTGTATTTCAAACATTTTTATTGCATAGCATACGTGTGACCTCATTATATTCCCCATATCTATGCATACGATATATTGGCCACGTTGACGTTCACTCTTTCAGCATAACACCTGTCATTATAATTATTCTGGAATACTGTATATCTATTTAGCAGTTAAAGATCATATAATATACAAAGAGTAATTTTAATATAAAATATCTTTGAGTATTATGTGTTATATGAGAATATTTTTTATAAGATATGCATTAAAATAATAGTACATGAATATCCATGGTGCTTGAGGCTATATACAGCTAACATATAGTAAACACAGAGAAAAAGGTCCTGAGGTTGTGTAACCAAATTATCTATTTTGTATATTCATAATTAATTCATGAAGTTCAAGATGTACCAAAATTAGACATGTATGTAAATGTACATAATGGAAAATATTAGGAAAATTGAATATATATATTTTTTTATTTGTAAGTTTTTTTCTTTCAGACCACATCATAAATTCAATGAGGCTTAGATACAGAAGAAACGCAATTTTAAAGTTGGGAATAGTGGTGATAACACTAATAATTGTTGTGCCCTTGATCATTCATCACTTTGAGCGTCCTGCTGATGACGAAAGTCCAGAAGTGATCAAGAAAAAACTCAGGGTATATTCATGATTTTAATAAACCAACATTATATGAATTTATTTGAATATTACAAAAGTACAAACATGTTTGCAATTAATAACATTATAAAATAATAAACTTAAAGATTAATGTTTTCTATTATGTTAATGAATAGGGCCTTCAAATAAAAAGAAGTGCATATGCACTTATAATTGCACCAAACAATATATGTAAATCCTAGTATGAGTAAACACAAGTTTTGATTTTTTTTCTCCCCATGCATGTAGGTTGCAAGGTATCAAGAGAAGAAAAGGCAACAGAAGAACATCCAGAATGTTGTTGAAAATCCAGTCTTAGCTCAGAAAGGAGGAAAGTTTGAGTTACCAGCTGATGAGGCTATAGCCGAGCCGACACACGGACCAGTAGCTGTAGTAAAACCAGGTGTTCTGGGAAATTTTGAGCCAGATTACCCAAGTAAAAGTGGTCCAGGTATGTATTTATTGTCTTATCATTGAATAACCATTACATTTGATTTGTTTTGTTTGTACGGGTATGTTGTTAACTGTCCCACTCAAGAATTTTTCACTCATTTGGAGACTTGCTGGTGGAGATTGGCAAATTTTGTACTACTGTATACAGGGAAATTTTCGCCCCCGTTTTATTTTCGCCCCTTTCGCCCTATCCTCATTTGGGCAAATTTAAAACAGGGCGAATTCAAAGAATACAGTATAATTTCTTAAACAAAGCTATGGCTGGGTGAATTTAAAACGGGAAAAAATTGTTTTCAAGTGTGAAAGGGCGAAAATAACACGGGGCGAAAGTAATCCTGTTTACAGTATACTCAGCACTTACAACAATTGAGCAATGAGGGGTCTTTTTCATGCTAGCACCTACTGTGACACAGGACCTCGGTTTATACAGTTTCATTCCAAAGACCAGTCTCCATGTCTCACAGTGGGATTCAAACCCACAACGTAAGAATTGACTTCGGTACTTACTTCACTACTCTAGAGCAGACGCTCTAACCACTGCCCCAAGCCGGCGACCCATTATATTTGCTTTATTGATCTTACCTAATTAAGTTCAAGCAGCATTCTTTCAAATACCGTAAAAATATTTTTCCTTTCAAAGAGTCATAATTCCACAGAATCATGATTTCTGTTTAATGTGTAGGTTGAAAATTACTCTGATTCTTTGGATTGTAGTTGTATGTTTTTATTTGTACTATATTAAAGTACACTATGGCAAATTTCATCTGAATTTTTGTGTTTATACATTCTAATTAAGCATTTATTAATCTCATGAAGAAAAATGTACTTCTATATAGTATATAGGATGTTGTATTGAATTTTCAGGTGAGAATGGGCAAGCAGTATATACTGGAATGGAAGAGAGGTCAAGGGCAGACAAATCTGTCAGGGAATTTGGATTTAACATGGTTAACAGTGACAAAATCTCAATGACCAGAACCATCCCTGACACCAGGCTAGATGAGTAAGCTGAAATTGATTTACTTTTATTGAATTTTGATTGCTTGATTTTTCCTCAGGTATTAAAGATTTTGGGCAATAAAATGTGATCTCAAATTTGTGCATTAACAGTTTGACATCTGACAGCTTTTTTAAAATTGCATGAGGAGTTTTTGAGGAAGAAGTCATGCTATTTTTCTACTTAATTAAGTCAGTTGAAATAATTTACACCTGTATGGCTCTGACCTTGTTAGCGTCTCTGTGTTTAACAGATGTAAGTACTGGCACTACCCTGAGGACCTTCCCTCAGCCAGTGTCATCCTGGTCTTCCATAACGAGGGCTGGTCCACTCTGATGAGAACGGTCCACAGCGTCATAGAAATGTCACCCAAACAGTACCTTCACGAGATCGTCATGGTGGACGATTTCAGTGACAAAGGTAATGCACATCTCTCTATCTGATTTAATGAAGAAAAACTTAAGCAAATAAGTTTTATTTTAGAAAATTAAAGGTAAAAATCTGTCAGTTATGAGCAATATATCACAATTGGTTGATGTGGAAAATATTGTGAATATCTGTACAGTCTGTATATATTACTAGCTGGACAATATAAAGTAATTAAAAGTTAATGAAGACCTTTTTTTTATTGTCTAAATATTGAAAAGTTTAATTAAAATATATTTTGTTGGAATCATTTGAACAAAGTTTTATCGGTACATTTTATCAGAGCACTTGAAAGGAAAACTTGATGAGTACATAAAACAATTTAATGGTCTGGTAAAGCTGTACAGAAACTCGGAACGCCTCGGTCTTATTGGTACCAGGACAAGGGGAGCAGAGTTAGCGACTGGAGATGTTATTGTGTTTTTGGATGCTCACTGTGAATGTAATAGAAACTGGCTGGTTCCACTGTTAGCCAGAATCCGTTACGACAGGTAAGTGATGGACATCTTATCATATCTAGGTTCTCTGTTTATATATTAACAAAGAAAATGTTTATTTTCTCAAATATTCAAACCCCATTAAATATTTTAGCAAAAACATATTTACATTTAACTTTTAATTAGCTGCAGAACTGTAGCTCTCTGAAAAAATATATTGACAGGCCGGAGAGCTACAGTGCCACTCATTGAAAAAACTGTATATTTATAGCGCACAAAAAAGTGCGCAGTTTCTTGATTCATTTCAACATGTTTTTAAACTGTCATCTCAAAATATTACTAACCGTGTGTTCCTAACATATTCTTTCACTATTTCCACAACAAAACATTCCTTATAAATGTTGTTAGTAGCCCTCCTGGCACTGAAATCAAGATCATAAAAAATTTCATCTATTTATACTGCCATTTTGGTTTGCAAGATAATTTGGTCCAACGCACTTTGTGCAGATGTCAACTATGAGAGTATTTCATAGAAGAGTAAGGAATTTTTAAAAATTTATCTTTTTAGCGATTGAGGTATGAATTTGGAAGAATTAACCAAGAAGTAAGCGCAACTTTTTCTGCGTAATAAATATACAGTTTTTACAATGGGTGGCACTGTAGCTCTCCGGTCTGTCAATATATTTTTTCAGAGAGGTACAGATCTGCAGCTTACTTTTAATTTGAACAGCAAGACAAGAAAAATGGTTTTCTTACACAACAAATAATAAATTGTCAACATAATTTCTTGGAAAACATTTATGTTATTTCTGGGGATTAAATTTGCTTATAAGACATATTGAAACTAATGAATTGTCTGTAAGTGGGTTACACTTTTGTAAATTAACTTTTGAAACTTGATCTTACTAATTGCTGTATGGAAAAGACAATCAAAATACACATATACAGTGTATTTGAAGAAAATGGCATTTTTTTTCTCTCTGAACAAAATGGTTTTTAACTTATGACATTCAGGACGATCATGGCTGTTCCCACCATTGATGGAATAGACTGGGATAATTTCCGCTACCACCCAGTGTATGGTGCTCAACATCATAGAGGAATATTTGAATGGGGATTTCTGTACAAAGAGAGTGTGGTCCCAGAGAGGGAGCTTAGAACCAGAGAACACAACAGTGCACCCTACAAGTAAGCCTCTCCCTCAACTGTGGGGCATGTTTGGACGAATCCATACAATGATTATTTATTAAATTTCATTGAATTCTATAGAGTTTAAATATCACAACTTCATAATGTCCAATCCAAGTCTTAGTCATTGAATTTGTTTACATTATTTATTAAATTTCATAGTAATTTATAGAGTTTAAATATCACAAATTCATAATTCCCAAACCAAGTCTCAGACAATTAATTAATTTGTTTACAGCTTCATCAACTATTTAGATATATTAACGATGTATTTTTACATAGGTCACCTACACATGCTGGAGGGCTGTTTGCTATGGATCGTAAATACTTTTTTGAGTTGGGTGCTTATGACCCAGGACTGAAAATCTGGGGTGGTGAAAATTTTGAACTTTCATTCAAGGTATGCTGTAAATTCATGTGTCCTTTTTAAAGTAAAAACAAAAAAGCTCACAAAATGATACCCCACACCCCCTGCCTCCAACATGATTATAATGGAAAAGCCCATGTTTTGCTATGGGAGTCCAGAAATAAGAGCCAGTTCAAAAAGTAAATTAGGAGGTCACAGTGGTACTACCGGTATGTTATAAACAATCTGTGAAAGTATAATTAAGTTTAATTCAATGGTATAAGAGGAGCTGCCAATAAGAAATGGGTACCCCTCAAAAATATAGAAAAATGGCAGTGTCCATTTTTTGCTATGGGAACCCTGAAATATGTGTCTGGTCAAAAAGTAAAATAGGAGATGCACAATGGCACTGTGTAACAAAGATTCTTTTGAAGTTTAAGTTTCATTCAGGGATATAAAAGGAGTTGCAGAAAAGAGATAGATACCGCAAAGAACAAAGGATGGATAGACATCCCCATTACTCTAACTCCCTGCTTTTCAACCTGGGAAGGGGGAATATACATGTATTGAATACATGTATAGACATCCGATGTTTCTCCATTAAAAACTATCGACACAATATGAATTTTACACCTTTTCCACAATTTACCTTAGGATTGTTATGATGTCCTTGGGTGACAGTTAAGTCACACTTTTAGCTCACAAATAATTTTTTGAAGCTTCACCTTCTGATAAAATTATTTATTTACCAGTGACTATGAACTTTGCAGGAATGTCATTGTATCATCCCAAGATCTTCACAATATTTGGACCATGTTTAAGCTTCAATAATTCTCCATTACAAAGATATAACCTGAACAATGATTTATACTTTTTTTGCCAAAATGATTTAAGCCACCTTTAGGTCACAAAATTTTTGTACCAAGTATAAGCTTCTATTATTTCCTACTACAAAGTTATAGTCTAGGCAAGATTGCTCAGACAGACAGACAGATGGACAAAGTTATTCTTACAGATCCACAAAACTTAATTTCTTGGATAAAAGTAATATAAAATTAAACATTATCTGAATGTGCGATTTACAGATCTGGCAATGTGGAGGAAGCATTGAATGGGTGCCTTGTTCTAGGGTTGGCCACGTTTACAGAAACCACATGCCTTATGGATTTGGAAAAATTGATGTCAAAATCCCAGTTATCAGTTTGGTAAGTGTTGAAATCTTTGCATGTCTACTTATGTCTTTGTAGAATAATACAATAAAATAAACTTCAAATAAATTGATTCTTACAGCAAAGGGAATTTTATTCCCTAGTATGTGGCTTTAAAATGTATTGGAACATTTTAGATATAACAAAATTTGTTCATAACAAAGCTAAGTTGTCCTCCCTTGGCTCTTCATTATAAATATGTTTGAATTCTAGTTTATAATGTGAATCACACTAAGCAATATTGTATACCTTTTGTTCTGACTACAGAATTACATGCGTGTGGTGGAGGTTTGGTTAGACAGGGAGCACAAGGAATTCTTCTACACCAGAGAGCCCGGAGTAAGGGGGTATCCTATAGGAGACATCTCTCAGCAGCTCAAGTTTAAAGAGGAGCATAAGTGTAAAGACTTCAAGTGGTTCATGGAGAATGTGGCTTATGAAGTTTATGAAAGATTCCCCAAACTTCCTCCTAATAAAGCATGGGGAGAGGTAGGTCTAATCAACAGATCCTTTTTTGATTATTAAATTTTGTGTTATCATAGAAATGTATGTCTTATTTTTTATGTGTGTGTTTTGTCCATGTAAATATTTGCAATAAGAATATTATTTTCATTTGAATACTGCATGTAAAGTCATTTTAGAGGGAGTGATATTTTAGTGTCTCATGTACTGTCATGACTAACATCCATGTATGTTTAAATTTTGATGTTATTATTTGTGAGTCTAAGATTTTTTTGAATATCACTTTTAAATAGTTCATAATGAAGTATGGAATGGTGCTTTACTTTTACAGGTAAAACTGAGAAAAGGCTCCTCTTGTATGGACACAATGGGTCAAGCAGTTGGGGGAGGGGCAATTGGTCTCAGCTACTGTCATCACTTTGGGGGTAGTCAAGTAAGTTTGGGGTGACTGAAAAGTCAGTTAGAGGGATGAGTCAGTAGATCTATGGAATCAATTTAAAACAAGGAAAAAATATACATGGCAAGATTGTGTTAATTTTGTTAGGGTTTTAAAACCCTAAAAAAATTTCCATGTCCTAATTCAAAGGTATTTAAGGGAATAAAGAGTATACAGGAACATTATTTATACAAAACTGGAAATATAATGGTCTCTAAAAGTACTGGAAAATGAACAGATAATTATCTTATTTAGTGATACATTTACTAATGGAGTGTATTCCTTGATTCAGCTTTTTAGAATAAATACAAAAGGCCAGATAGGAGTTGGTGAAAGATGTATCGAGTCCCCCAATGGAAACACTCTCCATGTGGCCTACTGTGAGGTGCAGCCCACGGGACCCTGGGACTACGACGAGGTAAGTTAATGGTCATTTACATGTAAGTTGTTTATAGATTTTTTAAATTAGATTTTGTTGATAACAGATGTAATTATTATGTGAAAAATGTGTTCTTTGAATCAAATTCCTGTGCCAGGGAATGCTTAACTTTGAAGTACCTTTTGTTTCACTTTGTTCTCTCAAAAATAAAGAACTAGCATATTTCAGATAAAAGTTGAAGCTAATTCATTCCTTGATTTTGCTTTAAGAAATATTTTACATTTTCAGTGAGCTTGATTTTATTTCAGTTTTTCTTATACACAATAATGTTAATGCTGTCAAATGAAATAATGTTTTGAGTATAAAAAATAACCTGCAATATATAGTTCTCAACATTTATTTGAACAGGCAAGTGGAGTCATCAAGAATACATATCACAACAAGTGTTTGGATGGAACAAACGGGAAGCTGACACTTCAGCCGTGTAATGGTGGGGGAGACTCCCAGAGCTGGGTGGTCACGGAAGTGTACTCCTGGAAGAAATAAAACACAGCTGATATTGACCAGTCAATCTTCACAGTGCTCAATGTACATTCCATATCTACTTACTGTGAAAGGTGTGTGTCCATAGATAGATGAATAGATGTGTGAATGTGTGAGTGGTTACAGAGAATTTAAGATCTATAAATTGTCCACCAGTTTTGTATGCACATTACGTCCAACCTTGCAGCAATGGATCATGTGTACTGTCAAACAGAAAACAAAGTTATTTTATTTACCTGTGAGAATCTTTCTCATGCATATTTCTTGTTGACTGAATAATAGGTTTGGTTTATTATGTAACCTTTATTTGGTCAATGCAAGAAGTAGTTGCAGGATAAATATCTCATATGCAAAAGTTCATCAAAATATATTGGAAAGTTCTTGGTATTATTATTAAAAATGACATTTTTTAAAATTTTATTTTTGCAAATAAAACATTGTTTCCAGTATATGTATATTGTGTGGCTAAACTGCATGCAATCAACATACAATGTGCATTCCACAAACCATGACAGAAACATCTGATATACTCTGTTCTCACATTTATATTTTTAGTTTTAGATTAAAAATATAAAAAATATATAGTGTGTAAAGTGGGGTTTTTCCAGGTAAGCTATTTTAAGATTAAAAAACAGCTTTACATCAGAGAGATCTGAGACCAATATTAATTTTAAAAGGGGTATAACTCCATTTTCTGTTGGGAGCTTTCTTTGTCATATATGTATTTTTATTTAAGAAGTGCCCTTTTTGTGAATTTATACATGCACATCACTAGTTTTTTTTCTTTTTTGGATAATTTGTTTAAGGTCAAGTGCTTTATTTAGACCAGAAGCAGATTTTTTTTAATTGCTTACATTTATTCTAAGTTTCCTTTAGTATTCCAAATCAAATGACATTTTGATACATGTATATACATTGTACATTTTATATTTGCCATTGAATGCATGCTTCTAGTACTTAAACATTTAATTGCTGATAAAAACAACTTTGTTAAACCATTGTATAGAATGTTGTGTCTTGGCTCTTGTATACCTACATGTATATGGTGAATTCCTCTTAGATAATTCTATTATTTTTTATCTTAATTGAACAACATTTAAAATATGGACATCTTTTATATTTGAATATCTTCAGGATTTTTATAATTTTTACTTACCTGGTTGAAAGGGCTCATTTAATCTAGACTTGTAAAATATACAAAAACTACCAGGTATTCTCAAAATTAAAAACCAGGGTCTAAACTCTAAAATAAAAAAAAAAAATGAATATTGTCATGTGAAGTTATGTGGAATCTTTTATTTCAACCAATCCTAATTTCAATTCCATTAATATTTCACAATTGAAAAGGTTTTTAAACTAATACATACATGTATGTATTTGCCTCTAAATATCAAACTTAACAAAACTTGAAAGTTGCCGTCTTTCCCTCACTGAAGACCTTACAATCTGGTTCTTATTGAACGATAAAATTGTGCTCCGTAATTTACCTATTAAAAATTTTTTTCTTTATATCTAGAAAAAATATATTTGGCTTTGAAACTTTACATTTCGCTGGTCATATGGTCATTCTAGTCAATTCACTACACCACTATCTGGCAATGACTATAGTTCTTGCCATTTTTTTGTTGTTCTACAGGAAAACCTGTTTTAATATATGCATGTCTAAAACAGTAACTGTAATCACATTTAAGTAACTGTAAACCCATTTATTCTTTGCATGCATGTCTTAAGATGAAAGATTATTAGGTTAAAAAAAAAATTGCAACAAGAAAAAAGACATCATGGAAACTTTAAGTACTGTAGGTTTACCTAATAAAACCAGGTTAGATTGCTTTCTCACTTGATTTAAAAGATGTACAAGACCAGGCAAATGTAGAGAGATGCTGTACCAAGTTGAATTCAGTGTTTCCCTCCAGAAATTCTGTGAAGATTCAGAGGTTAATCGGCTCCCTCGGCAAATAGAACTCAATTTGTGGGTCATACCTTGACTCGAAATTCATGTTTGTTGATTCATAAAATAAAATTCTGCTGGGCAGGTTATTACCATTAAAATGATGTGATAATGTACATACACAATGTGGTTATTGTTTGAAAAATGGGATAAATATATACATAAATGGGTGTTTGTACATACTAAAGTTTTTTTTTTAATTATGGGTTAATTATTTTCATATTTAATATGAATTTTTCATAATTTCTACAGTTAGATAGATTTTTGATGGTGTAAAATGAATTGTGATGTCAATAAAGTTTTCATTTTATAACATTTTTTTCACTGTCTTAACAAGTCAGCTGTAAAAAGGATATTTAGTTAATCTTTCTGTAATAAGCTGTATTTTGTTCTTAATATTGCATGGACAATTTATCAGTATTTCTGTTCTCTCTTTAGATTAAAAAAGTGACACGCAAAACAGTATTTTCTTGGTGCATTGTATCTCCAACTCATCTTTTAATCATGCATGCAAGTTGATCTTTTAAGATAAAATTTTTAAAGTAATTCACAGAATTTCTATATTTATTTTTTATGATTCTGATGGTACAGATATCTTATTTTGAAATTGACTTTTCAAATTACATGTATATAAAATTCTTTTCTTCTATGGTAATCATAAGTTAAATCAGAAATTGATTTTTGTCTTAAATATGTATAAAACACATCTAAATGGCATATATGAGGTACATATATATGCACCAATTTTTTGAGATATTTTTCTTTAATTTAATATGTTGATGGTGCGACCGTTGGGGCGAGTGCAGACATTTATCCAGTTTTAATTCAGATCTGGCTCATCGAAAAGAATGTGACATTTGGAACATCTAGACTTGACGTCACAGGACGTTGTGTGTAAGTTGCATTACCAAAATGAAGTCTGAGCAGTGCTGTTTAATGAAGAACGTTTTATTTGCCATTTTTCTGCAATATATCAGTTAAATCAAAGCAAGTTTGTATTTTTTGCTGAACTTTTGTTGTTATTCTCGCGAGAGTGTAGCTTTACGAAAAGATGAATTGTGGGTCCAAATTACTGTGGAAAAATTTCTAAATGTGCACTAGTCCGAATTTTCTCTTCGCCCAGGTGGTGTCGTTAGGGCTCGCAGTGACGAGCGTCACTTTGCGACGATCGCTGCACTCGCTATTAACTAATTATACATGTATTTATTTGACAGATTTGAATGTATAGTTACATTGTAGCTTTTGTTGAAAAATAAAAGAATTCAAAAGGGTACCATGTGTTTTTGAAACAGAATTTTCAAACAGATATTTCTGATTGGCTTTAAATTTTCAAGTTGTAATTCACTACAACAAAATTTCATCAACAAATGTAATTTATTCCAATTCAGCATAAAATTTTTTAATTTATTTGATAGATAAAACAAACAAAAAATCAGCTTTTAAAGCTGTATCATTGAAACAGTTCTTTGAATTACTTCTGTGAGTTGGTTTTTAGTTACTACATCCATTTTGATCCTAGTTCAGTGCCACAACCTTATGCCATCTAACTCCATTCCTTCACCGGCTGTTAGCTTTTCAGTTCTTTGACAATATTTTATTGCTGACTTGATTCTGACATTGTATGGAGATGGTACATTTTTTCATGTTGACTTGATTCTGATGTTGTATGAAGGTGATACGCTTTTCCATGTTGACCTGATTCTGACGTTGTATGAAGATGATCGTTTTTCATATTGACTTGATTCTGACGTATGAAGATGATATGCTTTTTCATGTTGACTTGAATCTGACATTGTATGAAGATGATTGTTTTTCATATTGACTTGATTCTGATGTTGTATGGTGATGGTACTTTTTTTCATGTTGACTTGATTCTGACGTATGAAGATGATACGCTTTTTTATGTTGACTTGATTCTGACTTTGTATGAAGAGGATACAATTTTTCATGTTGACTTGATTCTGACGTTGTATGAAGATGATATGCTTTTTCATGTTGACTTGATTCTTACATTGTATGAAGATGGTACTCTTTTTCATGTCGACTTGATTTTGACGTTGTATGAAGATGGTACCAGTGTTACCCCCGTCTGGAGCCCCTCTGTACTGAGGTCCTCAGGAGGGATAATGGAGCTAAACTCAAACTGCTGTATCAAAGAGACAGTGAAGATAAACAGCTCCATTTCTCCCAACTGTTTACCCGGGCAAGCACGAGGGCCTGCAAACAATTTAATACAATCATCAAATCATAACATACTAGTATTGTAAATGTATTTTCTACATTTAGACAGAATCTGCACTGGCTCCTATAATTAAATGAACTGTACATCAAGCAGTTATAGAAAACTATACAGTTTAAAGTTTTATAAAAATATTATTAAATATAATTCAGTTTTTTAGTTCAGTTTGACAGTTACAAATAATTTTAAAATGTGTTACCAATAGAAAATGGGTAGAATGCTTTATGTTTGATGATATGTCTCTCTTTATCAATGAATCGTTCTGGTTTGAATTCCTCTGGATTTTGCCAGTATCTCTTGTCGTAATGAGCGGAGTAAATATGCGGAATAATGACTGAATCTTTTGGAATGACCTTGCCATCTATCTCAACGTCTTCTAAACTAGTTCTAGGGAGGCTCAGAGCACCTGAAAAGCAATCATAGTTTCAACCTCAATATCACTACTAGTATACGATTTCTTATTGGAATGTAAAATTAATTGTGAGAGCTGTTGAATCTTCTTTTCCATCTAAGAGGTAAATGGGGGAGTTATCTCTCTTATGATGATAGAAGTAAATATTTTTTATGATATACCTAAGGTTGACATCCTCTGTACCTCGTTTATTGTGGCAGTGACATAAGGTAGTCTTTCCTTGTCTGCAAAGCTGACAGTGGCATCAAGACCAATTACCTTTAAAGAACAAGTTAATTCTAGATTAGTTACAATTTTTGTACCTGTGTCATGAAATCATTTGTTTAAACTTTCCTCTGTTGCCTTACCCTCTTGATCTCTGATCTGCACTTTGTCTGAACCACTGGGTACTTGATGAGATAGAAAATGATCCACAATAGACCAGTGGAGGACGTTTCTGAGCCAGCAGCATACAGGTCAAATATGATCTGAAAAAGACTCCTCTCTTTGAGAGGCAACGTAATCAAGATTAGTGCAATTTTCAATAAATTTACAACTTGTACTCGTATATTAAAATAAATTACATCTTTCATAATTCTTAAAAATTTTATCATTTAATGATTAGTTGTCACAGGACAGAATAAGAAATTTCATTCATTAAGGTCAGAATTAATATATACCCCATCCCCCTTTCCAATCTGTTATCAACTGGTCGTCCTCTTACTACATGTCATACTTGATGGTCTACACCTACCCGATAATTCTCCTACCCCTGTGTCCAGCTGCTCGATGTACATATCAATAAAATCGCGGATGATCTGGGGGTGATAGGTTTCCCGATGGCGTTTGATTTGGAGTTGACAGTACTCATAAATTTTGTCCATGTTCTCTGAAATTTTCTGTATAAAAATAATAATAGTTTTAGTAAATGAAAGATTCGCGAATAAACGCGAAAGTTTCGCGATATAACGCTTTCGCATTATAACGCGTAACTTTCGCGAATTAGCGCGAAACTTACGCGTTATAACGCGAAAGTCTCGCATTATTTCGCGAAATTATATGTATATATTAATGTGATTCAGGAACCTTGCTCTTCACTGACAGATAATAACATGAACGCTGACGGGAACTTTTATGAATTTATTCATAAACTATCCTTTCCTCAGAAGATGTACAGGAGAAATGATGCAAGAATAGGATAGATTAGTCATCAGAATTTTTTTATTTCAAAACCCTACCAATTAATAAAATGAATTTTACTTTCCTGTACATGTTTTTTTGTTTTTTAAATTCAAGAAATTCTTCAGACTGACTATTTTATTTGTAAGGGAAATCTCCACTTGACACTTTTCTCAAGCTTTTTTTTTTATCAGTAACATTCACTACAATTGTACCACGAGTAAAATAAGAAATCCATCATTTTGGACTAAAAATTATACCCTGTAGAAACATAGCTTAAAGTTGAGTGAACAATGTATCAATTCATGAGTTTAACGTACCATATGATGCTTTTTAAATAAGAAATATAAATGGATATTGTTAATTAAAAATTTCTCGAGGAGAAGGGATCTACTTTTCTTAATTTTTCTCAATATTATATCCGAGGGGTTATTGAAAAGTTCGTGGACTAGCGCCATAACTCTTAAGGTATACAGCGAAGAGTTTTTATTACACTTTGAATTACTAGAGTAATTGTCCATGTTTTTGTAAGCAAAGGAATGACTATGTGGCGCAACCTCAAAATACGATGTCGTATATCTAGAGTGAATCTAACAGAGACAAATGAAATTTGCCATCCAATTTCCACCCATGTGGTGGGACACAGTTGGCAAATTTACTTCATTTTGTCAATTTTCTGAGATCTTAACCTTTACAATTCTATTTCAAACTCTCTATAGAGTGTATATAAAAGACGCCTTGAAAGGGTTGATTTTTCCCCGAAATTCATAATCATGACGTAAAACTCGCATAAACTTTAAATTGTTTTAACAGCATTGAGAAAGACAAAATGTGATGGTAATATGGATCCAATAGCAAGAAAACAAAACTGTAGCTTGTGATGGTCCAGGATCAAAATAGCCTTTTGCTCTTCATTTAAATAAATAAACTAGATGACAAAATCAAAAGAAAGTTAAGACTTATGCAAATGTCTTGGTTAAACAACAAAAGTTTCGCGTTATAACGCGAAAGTTATGCGTTTATTTGTGAAGGTTTCGTATTTCGCGTTAGAACGGGATTTTTTTTTAACCTATGAAAATGAGCTCATTGGGCTTTCGTACTCTGTACACGCATGGTCATGGAGGTGAAATGAAGGGGGTGGGTATGAACGTATACCTGTGCACTAACATCCACCGACTCCAGAACAGGGAAGAAAATGGACGGTTGCTGATAGCCAAAATTTTTGAAGATGTAGTCTAAATTCTCAAGCAGGTCTTTAAATTCTTTGTCCTCGTAGTCAAATCTATCAAAAAAGCATTATAATTCATGATTTACTGTATTTATTCAAACAGATGAATGCTATATTTCACATTTGGTATGTCAATGAACGGTAGTGTACGGAAAATGCTTCCAAAATTACTCCGACTGTCTACGTGTGTGATGACGCTTTGATATATATTTACCTGTCCCCAAACACAATTCCTGATATGATATTCGAAACTGCCTTTGGTATAAACTTTCTGAGATCTATTTCATCTTTGTTCGATGAATGAATTGCTTTAATTATATGTCCAGCCTCGCTTAGAATTCTCTCCTCTATATTACTTGTTCCAAATCCCAGTTCTTTCAGAGCATTCATGGTAAACTTTCGAAGGGAATACCATTCCTCTCCATTACTCCATAAAACACCTATATGTACCGAAAAAAGTTAATCAAGCCCTAATTAACGAAGTGGAATCAACAAAAAGATAAAGAGTAAAATACATTTATAAAACAGTTTTATACGTATGTTTTACAGCATTTTTAAAAGGAGGGGACTGGGGATAGTGGTGGACATATAAACATTCGTGTTTTCCTTCAAGACAGCCCAATTCGGTGGGAAGGTTGTGGGGTACAGCCCCCTTCCCAACCAACAAAACTTGAAAAAACACATGCATAATTATTAAATATTCCGATTAAGTCAACCTCGTGCCTATAATAATTTGGCTGCTTATGTAAATTATTTTCTTGTTTCAAGCCATCTTGGAGGGGGGTGGGGGGCTTAATAGTATCTTAATAAAGTAAGTAACTAGAAGTATCAACGTTAAAATTGTTAAACGATTACGTGTACCCGAACGGTTGGAATGAATAAAGCATAATGTTGATGCATCCTACCTGTTTTCTGAAAAAGTTTATTTGGTAAATGGAGCCAATTTGGCCTAAACTTTGTTTTATCCCCATGTTCGACCAAAAGCTCGTTAAGGTAATCGTGTCCGAAAACTACGACCACCGTCAGACTGGGACCCAGCCTCAGCTGGACGATGTCTCCATATTTGTCTCGGAATTCTAGCAGACGACGATAGGTTTGGCGGGTAAATGCCAGATCCGGGATGTTCCCGACCACAGGCCATCTGGTGGGTCCGGGGAGGGACTGCAGACGACTCTGTACCCTCTTCAGAATAAAGAAGCACACCATAAGAGCAAAACATAATCCAATAACCGGGTTTAGAAAGAAATCAAAATGTAGAATATGAAACAGCATTGTATACAGTGCATTGGTAGGTAAAACTGAGGAAATGGGGGAAATAAATATGATTGTGATCCTTATAAACAACTAGAAATTGTACAGGACGTGTCTCTCTCGGATGCTTGATTGCTGCCCTCCCGTGTTGTCAATAGGAAATCCTGATTGAGTAATGGTCTTCCTCAATATTCGCTACTCATCTTGAATGTCACAGATTGTCACAGATTGCCTGGGTGTGACTTTGGAAGTAAATACAATTACTGTTCTGTACTTCAAATCAAGTACCGGTTAAAATCTTGTTCAAGTGTTTCTAAAAGAACGATCGTGACTTATATACTACTGCATATTATGCACTGGAATACTATTTTAAAAAATTACATATGTACTTTAAATTGAAAAACCAGTTTATTTATAGTATGCATATCATAACCTAGAGGGGATAATTTCTTCTTACGACAACTGTATTTAATAAAACATTATATATATATACTTGATCCTGGATAAAATCACTTGCAGCAGATGAAAATTAGATTTAGTAAAAATAGACTAAACCTGTCTGCCTTGTGACCGTCACCGTTGCACAATAAACTAGATGCTGATTTAAGATGACAATAATAAGAGCACATAAATATTTGAATTTCTTGTGTACCTCATTAACTAGTAAAAAGGTAACAAAGGTTATTTCATAATTTATCTAAGCATAAATATATCAATATGACCATGAAAACTTAGGTGAGCATATGACCCATGAGCCACCTAAATGTTAGTATTTCATACACAGATTGATACTCGATTTCATGAAGCAAACCAGGCTTTGGTGAAACATTGATGTCCCCGTATGGCAGCTTATGGCGATGGTTGAAGTTTCTCAAATGCAAGTTAAACTTGAAGGTCGAGGTCAAAACTGTTGGCACCCAAAGGAAGGTCTTGTCACAAGGTATTCATCTGTGAGATATGAAAGCCATTGTACTAACTGTTAAAAAAACTTTGGCAATTGTTTAATTTTTTAAAAGTGGGTTAAACTCTGAGGTCTAGGTCAAAAGTTCAAAAATATTTATATTCATTGAAAGATCATATCCTAATGAATACACTGTACACATGTGAAGTATGAAAGCTCTGGCACCAACTATTAAAAAATTAGGACCAAGGTTAAAGTTGGGTAACTTTTTGTAAAAATGGGCAAAGGTCCAAGGTCAAGAGGTTAAATTTGGTGGTACCCAAAGAAAGGTCTTGGCATAAAAAATATACCTGGAAAATATTATATCCATAGCCCCATTTACTCAAAAGCTATGAGCAAGGTCAAAGTTTTTGTGAATAAACAGACAGATAGATGGACGGACAGGTCCAAAACTATATATACCCCGAACCTTCGATTACGGGGGCATAATCATTCCGTTAAAAAGGGATTTTTAGAAAACTTTTGAGCTAATTAAATTAAATTTTCAGCCCCCGATTTACTTCTTGCACGGAAATATAATTTTCGAAACTATTGCATATTTAAATGGCACGGCCAATATTGTTTTTATGTCCCTTAATCGAAGATTCGGGGGTATATGGTTTACGCCCTGTCCGTCCGTCTTTCTATCTGTTTGTTCGCAAAAACTTCCTTGGCCATAACTTTTTAATGGTGGGGCTATGCTTTCATATTTTCACAGGTGTTATCTTTGTTACAATTAAGACCTTCCTTTGGATATCAACAATTTGACCTTTTGGTCTTGACCTTAGAGACGTTAGAGTTTGACTTGCATTGTGAAACTTCAATCCTTCCTCGTCTTACGGGGGCATCAGTGTTTAACAAACACACATTTCGCGAAGCGAGGGACATTCTCATTCGTCTGTCAGTCTGTCACAAAAACTCTTAAACCTTGGTGATAACTTTTGACTGAGAAGAGATAAGGCTTTCATATTAAAATGGACATTACATGTGACAAGACCTTTCCAAATTATCCCGTTACTTTGACCTTGAAGTTTGACCTACTTTTCCAAAAAATTTAACATTACTTTAAATTGGTCAAAGCTTTTGAAAGAGAACAGATAGGGCTTTCATGTTAAATTTCTAAAATATTCCATTTCGATGACCCTTGACATTGAAGTTTGACCTTACATTTCAAAAATGTTATATATTTCCTACAACTTTTGATTGAGAGGAGATATGGCTTTCACATTTCACATGTGCATTACCTGTGACAAGATGTTTTCGAGCATGCTATGATTTTTTACACTTTGACCTTGACCTTCACGTTTGACGTAATTTTCAAAAAAAATTAAATTTTGGTGAAATCTTACTTTAGAATGACGTATGATAGGGCGTTCATATTTGACACAATATGCCATACAAGTAGAGCTTTTTTAAAAAGCTTCCCGTCTTTAGCAACAGTCTTAAACTGTAAACTGATCTACACCTATCAGGCCGTATAATTCTTTTGAATTTCTTGATTTTGTATTTCTTCATTAGCTTTTTACTGGCATTAGCCCTACCACGGTTGTCGCTCGGTCATCTCCGTAAACTTTGACTCGCCGAGAGCTTTCGGCAAACCTCGGCTGATTCCATTTCCTTCTTCAAACAAGAAAGGGGAAAAGAATAATAACAAATTGTAAAGCCTGCAAGCAATAAAAATCAAATTTTATTTATAATGAAGTTAAAGAGATCTTTTTATTTTTTGCTATACAAAAAATCATGTTATTAGGAATTAATTACTGCTGATTTTGTTGTTCGTTTTGTCATTTTTTTTAAGATTGAAAATCTTGCAAAATTGTTAAGTCCTTAGATCATCACTCCCTTGCCTTGCACAGCATTTCAACCAATGAAATAATTGAAAATTTTCTCATCATGCATTTTCTACCAATCACAAAAGAGAGGAAGTGCATAGTCCGAAGACTGTAAAAAACTTCAACTATACAATACCGTCTTCCAAGGAAGACGGTAATAACATTTATAAAATGCAATCATATTTCAAAAATTGAGCTGAATTGCAAGGAACCGACTGGTTAAACGTAAAAGGATTTCGAATATATTGATTTTAACATTTATTGTCTTAAATCCTTCCTGTGGGATAAATGTCGTAGGTCTGACTATAAATCAATGCTTAACTGGGTGAAAGTTATCATTGGCGGCTAAGCCACTAGATCTTGGAGCATTGTGCTTACCTGAGTAATTATGTAACTGGTATACTTATCACGTAACCAGTCGATAATCTGGATATGTGTATCGTAAAACGATATACAGCTACACGCCTTTCGTTCTCACCACCCTATATTCATACACGCCAATCTGACGAAAAATATACTGTAATACATTATGGTCCGTGTTCCCTGCCACAGACTGCTGATATGTTGAAAATGTAATTGAGAGAAGATATTATTGTGAAAGAGATGTTATTCTGTTAATGCATTCACGAATATCTTTGGGTACAGAGGATATTTCTTATGCTTTGATCCTACTGGTTTTCATCATTTTCAACACGCGTGTTGCTTCTTATTTAACGTCAGGTATAATTGATTTCAGGCGAAACACCTGCGTGCTCCGTCCGTCCAGGCTCGAGTTATCGATCCCCCCTCATTTTAGCGTCTCGTATCACGGGAACTTCACTAAATTAATTCCGTTTTATTTGTCCTGGCCATTACGCTTCTTAGTTATATATAAAGCTTTCATTGACCAATAACAAACTTTGTGTTTATCTTATTTATGGCAATAGACTTTAATTTCCTTCCGGAGGGTCGGTGAAATGTGGATTTTGATTGACTGGAGCCTAGATAATAGAATTCTTAATCACGGACAGTTAAACAATAGGTTGCGTTATGGAATATTAGCTACCGTCACACGCCTCCCAGCAAATGGAATGAAATATATTCAAAACATTTGAAAGGGTGCGTTAAGCTGGTCGATTCTGTGTCATTGGATCTTTTTTTCAATCAATAACTTCACGCTTTTGGTCCAATTCCGTAATCAAAGCAAAACAAAGCGCTAAGCTGCTACCAGGAGTGCGCGAAGCTGGTTAGCGAGGCGCAGGATAGTGGCGCCAAGGAGCAGGGAGAAATGTTTGGTCGTGCAAACTATAACTTTTGTCCGACGAAGATTCTTGCATTTACTTATTTACAACTCGGATTTTCTAATTTCTTGGACAGGAACCGACAAAGGATTTTTCACCTTTCTGTTTGTTTTCATCTACCTGTTTAAATGGAACGCATCCAATTTCAGCGGCACTTGTGCGTGGAAAATACAAATCTTTTATTGTGTGTAGATTTGTATAGTAAAAATTGGCTTTTTACCGACATATGTCAGTTAGCATTCTTAATGGATGGACTGGTCCATTCAATGAAATAAATTCCGTATGTAGTTCCTGGAATAAACATGAAATTAAAAAAAACAGTGGTGATCTGAAAGAGTATTTTTGAGTGGTGGATCAAATGATAAGAATTGTTGGGGGTCTAAGCCTTATTTTTAAACAATGTTAAAATTTCAAATATACTGTGATGTGACAAGCAATCAAAATGCCAAGTTTGATTAAAAAGTTATCAGGAAGGGTACCTTCCTTACCTCGAATTCCCGAGCCCAGCGATTCGAGCGAGGATGATATCATTCTCCAGAGGCTTGGGCCAGACAGAAATAGAATCGCCTGGTCTGGGGAAAATACCTTTAGTGTAATTCCCCCTACCCCCAACGGAGCATCGAATAATGGTAGCGAATTGGGTCCAGCGTCACCAGTTAGGGGCATTCTGCGTGGTCCAGAGAGGAGAGGACAAGGCAGTACATCAGAGGGTAGAACGGCTAATGGTGCGGCGGTCTCCAGGATAGGCCAGAACCGCCAGTCCTCCGGTAATACTTCCACTAGACCACGTTATAACAGGACACCGGTTCGAATGACTGTTGCTGGAGAGTGGGCTCTCAAAGAATGTGAGGTATGTAAATTTTGGAGTGTACTCAGTGCTCAACCTTACAGCAACTATGGCAAAAAAAAAAAAATGCGGAAAAGAAGTGGGGGGCATAAAGTTGAAAATTAACAGTAGCAAAAAACATGCTCGGGAAAAAGTGGATTCTTCCCCTTTGCGTTCTACGGGCCTGTAATGAAAAAAAAAGTCTCGGTCCAAATCCAGAATAAGAGAGGATCGTACATTTTAGCCGTGGTTTGCTATGATGGGTTCAAATACCTCTAAACATATTTTGGCGTCATAAACACGTTAATAATGGCTTATATTCTCCGTAACAGCGACGTATAAGCCACTTGTTTTACGTCATTATCCGCAAGTAGGTGCTGTCCTGGAAGAATTGAGTGCCTTGAATTCGATTTACCAATTCAATTCAACAGTGGCGGAGCCAGGAATTTTGAAGGGGGGGGGGGCAGTTTGGGTCGGTTTAGGGGCTAACAGTCATACACACAAACAAAATGATTTATTAGATCTTATGTATATTTTGAACACAAAAGGGGAGCCGAGCTCTCCGCCCCTATTCTCAATTGAGAAGTTGATGGCTAGTCTTTTACGAAATAAAGAATAGCCCGCCCCTTCTATAAATCCGCCAGTTTTTACTGCACGTTGCGATATATGTTATTGAGAGAATGTAATGGAAATTCTCTTCTACATAGACGTTTTCCCATTTTGTGTGAACCACCCTTGACAGCTTCCAATCCTTAATTCGGAGCTACGATATAGGTTTCAGCTTTTACACTCTTCAAATATGTTCCGGTATATAGGTGGGAAAGTTTTCACACATTGATTTAAAATAAGTTGGCATGCCCACGATGCTGTGCAGGATATATAAAGACATGAATTGAATTTTGGCCCACGAGATGATTACTAAACAGGGAAATCTCTCTGTTTTTCTTTCAAAACACTATTTCTATAGTTTTCGGTAAGATTTCAGTTGGGCTTCTAGCTGCACAGCTTTAGCTCTCCGAAAAAAAAAAATACTTTGACAAACCGGAGAGCTACAGTACCACCCATTTAAAAAAAAACATGGAGAACTAAATCGAGAAACTGCGCACCTTTTTGTGTGCAATAAATATACAGTTTTTTCAATGGATGGCACTGTAGCTCTCCAGTCTGTCAATCTATTATTTTTTTTCTGGAGAGCTATAGTTCTGCAGCTATTGGGCTTTGTGCACAAGTAAGTACAATTATTTCAATTTTCAATGCATGTTGATTTAGGTAAGTGGTACTGCTTTAGTTATAAACAAATGGAATTTTCCATGAAATTATTTCATATGCTTCATATACTACAGTTTCGTCAGATTTTAGTTAACAAGAGATAAATGTGTACAAATGTCACACATAGTAAGTAAGTAAGAGATGAAATTCTTCAAGATATATCATATTTCACCTTCTTTTGACATATCCTTCTAAGTTGGACTTTTTAAAATGATAAATCATTCTTTCCAAAAAGAAACTATAAAATGCTCCAAATTATGTGCATTTATTCGACTCAAAATTATCTAATGAACTTTAATAATAAAGTTTGATTTTAGTCTGTGTATGTTGGAATATAATTGTTAGAAAGACAATTTAAACCATTTTCTCTACTGAGAATGGTTAAAATATGCACACAAATATGGCTATCTCCCACTAAAGACATAATATTGCTCCTGTCAAAACAAAGCAATGGAATGCCATTTGTAATATTTCCATGTACAAAAGAATGAGTAATAAACATAAATTATTGCTCTGAAACAAATCCTACATTCTTTTGTCTACCTACTTCAATGGAGATCTAAGATGTTTGTTCCTTTTTAAATACCTTTCAACAAGTGCCTAGTATTTTTGTGTAGAATTGTAAATTTGAGATGTTTGCATGTTCTTGCTCCCTAAGATGGTGTGATTAGCAATTTTGATATAGGGAACTTAACTAATTCAGGTTAATTCTTCACAATGGAGGAATTATATTCAGGATCCTGCTTTTAAACAAGTATTCATGTATTGAACACATTCATTCACAGCCATTTAAATCTGTTTTCCATTAGAGATTGGGTATAGTGCTGAATGATGGGTCATGTGTAGACATGTCACATTTAAATCCATAATCGCTAGGAACTGCTCTCTGTACATAGATCTGCCACATTCTGTCTTTGTCACCAAATTCGGCTGTTTAAAGAGAAAGTGACAGTGAAGAGGGAGGTTAAATAAGATAGGTAACTGGAATGTGAACATATCAATGCGATACAATTCTCTGTTTTTTGTGGAAAACTTGATCGAGGAAAAATTATTTGGAGAGTGTAAAAGCATTTTAAACCACGGATTTACCAAATATATGTATATATTATAGGTAGGTATTAAATAGCATGCCAGATCATTTTGATAAAACAAACTTATGTTAGATTTACAAATAAATGGTATTTATAGTCTGATCAGGTAATGTTTTCATTGATTTTGATTCCAGGTACATGTCTGTATACATGTACATATATACTAGTATGTATTGGGATTCTATGTAGTGAGAAATGACTACATTATTCTTAAAATTATCTTTCGTCTGTGAATTTAATATGGCATACCCGGAATTATTATTTTTTTTTATAGACTTTCTAAACCATTTGGATTTCATTACATACATTTGATGTAGATAATACCTTCTGTATGTAGGAGTATCCCAATAAAATCCATAGTGGAACATGTCCAATAATTTTTACTTTTATATATCTAATCATTAAAGGAATGGGCACACCTGCTTTACACATTAAACCTTAATTTTCTTTAGATTAGACAGGTAAGATGAAAATAAAACAGACTGAATAATGGTAAAAAATGTCCAGGAATTCTTTCGAGGGGTGTCTCTGAGAATTCTCTCCATATTAATTTGATGAATGATTTAAGTGTACGTGACAGGGTGAATAAGTCTAGATGTACAGTGTGAAATACTGGTGTAAAATTGTGAATGAGAATCAATGTATTACAGGTTATGATGTGACATCATGCCTTTAAAAAATCAAGATTTATGTCAGTTTTACTTAAATCTCAAGGAGATTTATTCAAGAGATTTTTCAAAGAGAATTAAAACCATTTTGACTTTGGATTGTTATTCTTAGCCATTATCTCTGAGGAGAAGTGCTATAACAAAGTGATTATTTTGACTTTATTTTGATAGTATATAAGGGATAAGGCTTAAAACTTTTGAAAAACAATCTGGAATGATTCTGTAAGATTCTTTTTAAAACTTTTTACTTAAACATTCAGGTTATGCCATATAACACTTAAAATGATCTTTGTCAGATTAATTAAAGGGGGATATTGCTCCCTATTCCATCTAAATTACATAAATTTGTTTGCACTGTGCATGTTCACTTGTTAAATGAATGTATATTATGATGTGCTGTAATGTTATTATATTGTATGAATTCATTTGATAGTAAAACTTCAACTTAAGTTACATTTGCATTGTTGCCCAGGTTTGCTGTTAACGAAGTTTACTAAGCCATATATGAGCTAGGCTCTCTTACTCTAAACCAATAAAGTAAGATGATATTTAAACAAAAGGCATGCAGTGTGTAGAAACTCTAATCCCTGACCATCATTAATTAAACCTGTACCCTTAAATTATTTTAAAAGATTGACAAGTATATAGGACTTACTAATATAGTTTTATTTCATCTCTTACAGTCATTGACAACATGGGTGAATAAAGTTCTTAAGGATTCTGGCTCAGAACCGGTGGTGGATCTAAGGAAAAGTGTGGGAGATGGAGTTACACTTGTACAGTTAGCGGAAAAAACTTGTAAGTATATTTATAAGTAGTGGCGATCTGTAGATTCTTCAAATAAGCAATATTAAGTATAAGACATGAAATGTGATATCAATATATCAATTCAAAAAAGTTCAAAAGGAAATTTGTAATTTTTGCATATCAGAATTATGTGTCTTGGAAGTAATAATTAAGAACGTAAGATAATACATGTACTGATGCAATCAAAGCTGTTAGGTCAAAATACTGATTCATGCTAGCTTGCAAATGCATTCATATTCTGACCATGTGAATATCTTTTTCAGTGATTATTGCATAAAATAAAATAGATATTCAAAGGAGATCACTTTTTTTTTTAATATTTGTTATTCCAATTTTATTAAATAAGGAAAAATACTTGTGTCATAATGGAGTAAATAAATAGTTGTAAATAAAGCAAATTTAAAAATAAAGTAAAAACAAATATTTTCATAGGATTTTCCTTCACTTAATTCAAAAGCACACAAAATACTGTAAATGTAGCATATTTAATGTGTACAATATTTGGCAGAAATTCAATTTTCAACAAGTTAGCGTGGATTTGATTTAGCGCTGTCTTAATTTGCTAGTTATAAAAGTTAATATACAAAACATTTAGCAATGTACTTGAATTAGCGGACTCTGCTTTCCACCAAAATCGCTAAATAGAATACACCGCTAAATGTAATACGTTTACAGTAAATAGTATGGCATTTTACAAAAAAAAATTCTGTCTTTTTTGTGAGAAGACTTTTTAAGAATTTTCTATTTTGAAGCTGAGATATATTTTTGAGTAGTTTCAATAACCTTATTCACGATAACTTAGAAGATTGCCTGACTGCACCACCCAGAATGAACAACTCCGAGATGAAAATGAATTTTGTTAACAACCCTGCCACTCAAAGCTTTTGGTGGACTACCACATAGATTGAGGAAAACAAGTAGATCACCTCTAAAATAAAAAAAGACCTCTACTGCAATTAAAAAAGATTAAAATTTTAAAATTGAATCAGCAAATTGAACTCCTGACTGGATAATTTTCTTAGCTGGTCTACAAAGATTGTATCAAGAAAGATGATATTATCAGGTTTGAAATAGGATCCTACCTTTTGTAAAAACATTGACAATTTGGTTTAGGAATGATCTCTGTATGTTACATTATATTTTTTTTTAACCTGAAAAATCATCTGCCCTTCATAATGTCAGAGTGGGGGAAAAATTGTCCAGAAAGCTGCTAAATGAAGTGACACATCAGTTACTTTTATCTCTACCCTAATAGCAGAGAACTAGTTCTACAATGAATGCACCTGTATTAGACAAAACCTTATTAAGAACAGATTAACGAGATGTTTGCAGCAAAAATTCACAGGTGTTCTCTTGAGCTAATTAATGTTGCCTGATTACTAGAATTCAATAAGCAGGAAGAGACACTAATAACTTGAACAGACCTGGACAGATCACGGGCTATATATAAGTAATGAAGGTCTTTTACTGTATGCCAATGAGACCACTGATGGTTGTAGACAGAGAACACTATGCTTAGTATACAATTCAAGCACAAATTAGACTGTAGGCATCAGCTCAGTCAAAAGAAATGGAGACATCAGTATTATTATGGGAATAACTTAAATTCTGGTTACTTATATGGTGAGTGCTGTTCAGAATAACTAAACTGAGTTAACTTGCCTCAGATATTTGAGTGTATAGATGAGGAAGATACACATGGTACTTGGATGAGGGAACATCAGATAAATTCTATAAGAATTGAAATTATGCATTTTCAGCCAATTTTATAAATCAGATTTATTTAATAAAAGTTTATTTTCATGCTACTTTTAAATTAAAATAAAGTTGATCTTTGGTATATTGAACTTCGGATATCTTGAATACAAGTTGTGTTTTGATGTGATCTGGAAGTCCTAAGGGTGAACCACATTTTCTATATATCAGTCTATATAATATATATCTTATGTACAATCTCAATATCTTGAATCCTTGGATATCTCAGTTTTTTTTCTCAGCTTCAATGAGTTTGAAATAATGATGTTTCATTTTATACATGTGCACATGGCATAATTTCCTTCATACTTGCAGTATGTAGAATACCTAGAATGGTATAAACAGTGTATACATATTATATGCTTCTATGCTGTTTAATTAAATTTATGAAAATAACATTGAAAAGTTTGGAAAATAAGAATGAAAATAGGAAATATAAGAGCCTTTGTATCCAAATGTAGGTTCAGATTATCAATTACATTAGCTATTTTAGATGTGAAGTTTTGTGCATACATTTAATTTCAACAGTCAACAAACCTGGCCCCAATCAGAGAGTGATGGAGTGCAATATTTGCTTTAACTTTTTGTAAATTTATCAGTTGTTTGTATTAGAGTATTTTCAAATGTTCTCTTTAGTAAATTCTGATAAAGTTGTACACAGAGTGTTAGGCAGTTATAATTTTGAGTCAATATAATAGCTGTTCATACAAAATTCATTACACATGTATTTCTGGTGTGGATTTATTGCTGTTGGTGCGCACTATTCTAGACTTGTCAGTTGTGAAATTTTAAACTTCCCTCGATAATCACACCTGGGGTATGCACAAGGGCTTTGTTCCTCTGAATTGTTTTCCAACTTAAATTTGGTTGACTTTAAACATTGGTGTACAGTGATTTTAAGGATTATCACTGTCGATCTTTGATTTTACCTTGTGCCAAAATTAGAGAGAAGGCGCCTTTTGTTTTCGTAGCTAATTGAGGTCGCTTGTTGCTTTCAGGTGGTAAATTTCCAGAGGAGGTTGACACAGACATAAACTCCAAACAGGACCGAGTGAACAACTTACAAGTCTGTCTGAGTCACCTTAAGTCATCAGGAGTTGATCTCACCGCCATTGATGCTGAGGGTAAGATGTCAAAGTTGAACATTCGGAATTAGTTGCTTATCCACTAGAACCTTAGAATATTATAAACAGTATGTGTTTTTGTCTTTATTACTTTTTCTTTGTAGTAATTACTTCAATTCCCTGCCTAAAAGTGAACTTTTATAAAAAAGACACTTAACTTTGAATATGAAAAAGTCTAACTTAAAAAGAAACCCTATGAGCATTAATAAATACTTTCTTATCTGTAAAGATAAAATTTGATGCATAGCTGCATACATGTTAATGTCTTAAAAATTGATTTGGGCTTATTATGGATTCATTAGATGGAATGCTCAGGTACACACCATACAAATTTGATGATTATATTTCAACATTTAAATGACTGTTCCAATATCTAGTCCTCATTTGTGAATGATTGCCAAATATTTATGCATCATAAAGTTTTATCTGTCAAATTGGTGTCAATGTGGTTTCAACAACTATAGCTATTAAGTCTGGGTAAATGGGGAAACCTGAATTTGGGTGATGGAATGTTGAAGCTAATATTGACTCGTTTAATTGTCCTTCGTCATCTGTAGATATCGCTGATGGAAATTTAAAGTCCACCCTGCTCCTCATTGGGAATATCAAGAGAAAAGTGGAGGTAAAATAGGTGTTGTTGCTTAGTAACTCGGACTCTTTTGGCAGACAGTGTCAGAAACAAATTGGCTTATTTAGAATAATGTGTGTATTGATTGATGAGAAACCTATCATAAATATAGCTATCTTGAAAACATTTGCTACAACATTTTTTTAATTTAGTTTTTAAAAATTCATGACTTGTTAATTGCTGTATAGGGATACAGTAAAGTATGGTCCATGTGTTAAAATGTGTGTCTGTTTCTACTCTCGAAAAAATTGAACCAATTATCAATGAAACCTGATAGCCTCTGTTTACCTGTATTGATTTTCCTTCCCTAAATGTCTGCATCCTTTCAGGTGTAATGATGCTGAAAATTTAAAGAAAAAAATCTAATATTTTTAGGCAGACACAGAGAGTAAGACAAAGGCAAACACAGCATTAAGGGAAGGCAGCAATGTAACTGCTCCTAAAATGCCAGGGGCAATTACTCTTCCAGGAGGTATGAGGGAGCCTCCCCTTGGAGTCAATGGTAAGAAATTTTACTTGCTCTCCAAGGAAAAAAAGAGAGAGGTAGTTTCTTTGTATTTCACATACCAATAGTTGTTCAATGGTTTGTACAATTCTAAATTAGCACAAAGCTAATTTTTATGGTACAATGATAGCCTACTATTTGATTTGATGATACTATTGATTGATATTTGGTAAAAAAAAAACCTTGACAGATTACCCTATGACCCCTCAGCGGAGGACCTTGACCCAGCCCTCAGATGACCTCATCCCGGGGATCCTGAGGAAGGAGGAGACAGTACCTCGCCCTCAGTCTGTCCCTCCTCAACCACTCATAGTGAGGCTCTTTTCTGTCTTACACTAGATACAGTAATGTGGCCCTCTCAGATAATTTTAATATTCAATATCTTTAATGTGTTATTGATTTTTATTTGACATCAAAGATACTTCCTTCTGGAAGAAATTCTAATTCTGGTAATTCTGTTATAAATAATCTTTAAAAACGCCAAATTCTTCCCTGAAAAAGAATCTTACTTGATAATTAAAACCAATACCGCAATGCAATGAAACTATTGTGGTACATGTATTTGGATATTGATGTTTTACAGTCTATGACTGAGCTGAGCTCTACAGGAGTTTTCCAGCGCGGGGCGGAGGAGAGAAGACAATTGTACTCACACAATAACTACAGTACTCAGTTGTCAAGAGGAGCTGGTCCCAGACAGCAGACGACAGTCAAACCGAGCATGCCCACTAATAAACTTCCTTCCAATGCCTGGTCCACGGAGTCCCAGAAACCACAGGTGGGTAAAGCAGATCGAAGCAATCAGCAACCTAAATAAATAAAGTAGGATTATCATGGAATCGTGTCAATATTATATATATTAATGTTCCGTGGAGGTTCCATTTTGAATTGATCAAAGGATATACATGTGTACATACATGTATTGAAAGAAAAAAAAGAACACATAAAACTAATTTGTATGTTTCATTCATGAAAAAAAATGCACATTATTGCACAGCGTGGGACACACTGTCATAAAACTTTAACACAATCTTGATAAACACAGCACAATGAGATTATAATGCTTGTTTTTGAGTAGCTGACTTTTTTGCTTGCCTGGTTTGTAGCCCGGACCAGCTGGTGCTGTGTCTGTTGAGGAGCGATTGAAGTCCTTGATATCTAGCCCCTCCTCTGAGCGGGCCCCCCCAGTAAGTTGGTGTGACAGCTCTATATATAGATTTACACGCTTGCTGTGATTCACTTAATAATTCAATATAACTTATCTAATGCACTCTCTCAGCTTTCATACTGTCAAGTCAATTTTTCAGAAAATTTTTGGTGAAAGGATTATCTATGCTTTATTAAATTAATAAATATCAGTATTTTTTAGTCTATTAGTGTACTTGTCTCGGCTTCTTTACTTCAGACGCAAAGAGAAGAAAGTTGCATTATGCTCATACTGAAGATAGATTGTGTACTTATTTTCTCAGAACATATCAGTACAGATGCATTTTGTTCAAATATTATATATGTGCATTATATCATACACTGACGTATTTGAACTTAGATGTACTGGACTTTGCCTCCAGTTGAGGTGGTAAGTGAAAAATGCCAGAGAGAGAAATGTTTAATGTATGTCATGTAGTCAGCTAGGAATGACAAATGTGTCAAAGTTTTCCTTGGCATAAATGTTTAAAACAGATAACTCTGAAAATATTTCAGCTTAAGCTTTAAACTCTCATGTCAGTATTATATACTTGCTCATAGTTTAATTAAACATTTCATATAAAATGCAGGTACAGAAAAACACAGTTACAATGAAAACACTTATAATAATGAATTCATTTACAGCAAAGGGTTTTGCATTCCCTGAAGTTTTGAATTATACCATGTAATCAGATTTTTATCAACTCTAATATTTTTAGGTCACCTGAGTAAACTCAGGTGACCTATTGCTATCCGTTTTCGTCCGTCGTCGTCCATCGTCCATCGTGTGTTAACATTTGAACATTTTCAGCTTCTTCTCTGCAACCACTAAATCAATTTCAACCAAATTTGGCACAAAGCATCTATGGGTGAAGGGGAACAAAAATTGTGAATTTCATGATCCCTGCCCCCCTGGGGCCTGAGGGGTGGGACCAAAACCACTAAAATTAATGCAATCTTTAAAAATCTTCTTCTTTACTCCTGGACATCAAGCAGTCAAACTGTTTGCATGATTGTAATCAGCATTAAGTCCTCTACAGAAATTGTGAAATTCATGGCCCTGGGGTCAGGGGTTCTAGTGCTAGGGCGGGGCTAAATAAGTATATAGTAAAAATGCATTATTTCTTTGAAAATCTTCTTCTCTGCTCCTGGGTATTAAATAAACCAACTAAGTACATAGTTATGATAAGCAAGAGTGCCTCTATCAAAATTGTGAATTTTATGGCCCCAGGGTCAGGGGTTCTGGTGTTAGGGTGGGGCTCTATTGATTATATATAGTGAAAATACATGATTTCTTTGAAAATCTTCTTCTCTGCCCCTAGGTATTAAATAAACTAACTAAGTGCATAGTTATGATGAGCAAGAGTGCCTCTACCAAAATTGTGAATTTTATGGCCCCAGGGTCAAGGGTTCTGGTGTTGGGGAGGGGGGGGGGGCTCCATTGATTATATAGTGAAAATACATGAATTCTTTGAAAATCTTCTTCTCTGCTCCTAGGTATTAAATAAACTAACTAAGTGCATTGTTATGATGAGCAAGAGTGCCTCTACCAAAATTGTGAATTTTATGGCCCCAGGGTCAAGGGTTCTGGTGTGGGGTGGGGGGGGGGCTCTATTGATTATGTAGTGAAAATACATGAATTCTTTGAAAATCTTCTTCTCTGCTCCTAGGTATTGAATAAATTAAATAAGTGCATAGTTATGATGAGCAAGAGTGCCTCAACCAAAATTGTGAATTTTATGGTCCCAGGGTCAGGGGTTCTGGTGTTAGGGCAGGGCTCGTTTGATTATATATTGAAAATACATGAATTCTTTGAAAATCTTCTTCTCTGCTCCTAGGAATTAAATATACTAAGTACATAGTTATGATGAGCAAGAATGCCTCTTCTAAAATTATGAACTTTATGGCCCCAGGGTCAATTCTGGTGTTAGGGCAGGGCTCTATTGATTATATAGTGAAAATACATTAAATCTTTGAAAATTTTCTTCTCTGTCTCTGGGTATGAAGCAGATGTACTACCTATATAGTTATGATGAGCAAGGGCCATGATCGTGCAGAATTGTGAATTTCAAGGCCCGAGGGTCAAGGATGGGGGGTGGGGGCTCTCAGACTTATATACTGAAAATGAATTAATTGTTGGAAATCTGCTCCTTTGTATTTATAAAACATTTATTTATTTTTTGATAGGCAATTTTAAGGGTGCCTTTTTAAAATTTGTGTAATATGTGGACCTAAGGTCAGGGGTTTATGTCACAGTGTTAGGGGCACTACTGATTATTGCTGAATATTACTGATTAGTTGGAATGCATTTTTGTTCCCCTACCCTGCGTATTCAGTAACCAAGCTAAGCAACTGCTAAGTCTATTGTTGTGATGATCAATGGTGCCTCTTTCAAAATTGTGAATGCCATATAGCATCTGGCTTAAAACAGGAATCAAATTCAATAACTGGAAAGTTGTTGCATAATGCTCAGGTGACCTATAAGGCCCGTGGGCCTCTTGTCTGATTTGTTACTGAAAATCAGTGTATAATTTTTGCTCAAAGTAATTTAATCAATTTCATATAACTAGAAATCTATTGCTAATCTGTGGGAGAAATGAATTGTTTGCATTATTCAGTTTTAGTAATTTCAGCACTCCCTTGCTAAAAATGCATTAGGTTTTTAGTGAATTAAATTTTTTGGGCCCTCATTTTTGATTTCTTTTTTTTTCATAAATCTATTAGAATGTACTTAATTTGTACAATTTTTCCTTTCTTGTCACAAATATATATTCTCAATTTGAGCATTAGTCTCAGCTACATTGTACTACCTTAAAATCAAGGGATGTCACTCTTTAAGCATGGTGAACACAAAACACGGCAGTGGTATAACACTCTATAGAATCCATGTGTTTGATGTAATACTGTATTTTTTATTCACATTCTTTCATGCTTTGCCTTACTTAATATACTTGCTATATATTAGTATAATAACAGCTTTCTTTAACATAAAGAATTGGTATGACTTTGAACTTTAAAGCTTATTAACTAACATCATACATGTATAAAGTATTATCCTAGTACTGTATCACATATTTTTTTAATGATGTTCGATACATGCAATGTGTCATTAAGAAATAAAGGACTGGATCCTCACCTTATATTTTTATTTTATTTGTCTAGGCTTCCAAGAGTTTTGATGATGGTGAATTGATTGTCCCCTTCCCTCCTCAACCACGAAATCCTATGTCAGGGGGAGTTAACCCCAGTCACCAGAGATATCCATCTGTACCTGCCAATAATCAGTCAAACACATACATTGTAAGTACATGTAGATGTTGAATACAAACTAAAAAAAAAAAATCCAGGTTTTTGACATATGTTTCGTGAACAGAAATATGAATTATTAACTAGGATTCCTGAAAGTACAAATGATTGTAATACTTTTTCAGCCGTCCAGACCAAATGATAGGGCACATCATAGCTCCCGAGCTGAGGCAATACTCAGTCAACCAAATACTTCATCGAATCATCCTGCATCGTCCCAAGTCCACTCCACATACAATCCCAGCCAGGTCCACAACACGCCTTCATACCAAGATCCGTCCTACATACAGAGCAGCAGTTATTCCAGTGCCATACCCCCTGGACCAGCAAACCAGGGTTACGGGGACAAAACCAGGAATAGAGTTGTCACCCCGAGCATTGAGGCCGCAGAATGGGGCAGAAAGAGAGGACATGAAAATCATGGATATGTTGGAGAGACCTCTCCAGTCAGGGATAGAGGACTTAACAGGGAGGAGTAAGTGACCAAAGTCAATCATGTATAAATACAGTAATATAACAGTGAAATAATAAATGATATTCTTTCACAAACAAATGTTAATAGATGGAACAAACTAGTGGTAGTATATCTCAAGGATTGTCATGTGTAGCATATGAACACTGAGTACTGTCTTAGAGCATTGTGATTGCTCTTTATTTTACAGCAGCGAGTGTTCATCTAGAGGCCCTGGTGCTGACGGAATGAGAGACGCCTGGAACAGACTCTACGGAGGCAGGATGTCAGTTCAAGGTGACCCCAGACCACAGCAGTCAGAATACCACCACCAGGTAAGGGGGAACACTGGGGAAACTAGAAACAGCAGTCAGAATATCACCACCAGGTAAGGTGGAACACTGGGGAAACTAAAAACAGCAGTCAGAATATCACCACCAGGTAAGGTGGAACACTGGGGGAACTTAAAACAGCAGTCAGAATATCACCACCAGGTAAGGGGGAACACTGGGGAAACTAAAAACAGCAGTCAGAATATCACCACCAGGTAAGGGGGAACACTGGGGAAACTAAAAACAGCAGTCAGAATATCACCACCAGGTAAGGTGGAACACTGGGGAAACTAAAAACAGCAGTCAGAATTAGGGCTGTAATAATATATCGATATATCGATACGTATCGATATTCAAGAAAAATATCGTATCGAAAAGTAACTTCCAATACGTATCGGACAAACATTTTTTCTTCAAATTCTGTTTAAAAGATGGGAATTTCAGTCAGCAAAGATTATATTTTACTTTTTTGAATTAAAACCTTCAATAATTATATAATTTCTAAGGAAATAACACAGTTTTTATAATTATTACAAAATACAAAGAGAATTTTTTTTTAACATGTTGATTTTACTGTCATCAAAAGTTTTAATTGAAGTGTTATTTTTAAAGACAATGAGACAAGAACTTTAAAATGGGTAATAAAACACTTAATTGTTATTAAATGTATGCATTAAAATGATTTAGAAGCCTTTTCTGATGGACTTGTTTCAGAATCCAATATATCGCATATCGCTTTAAAAAATATTGTATCGTATCGTATCGAAATTTTTGGCTCAATACACAGCCCTAGTCAGAATATCACCACCAGGTAAGGTGGAACACTGGGGAAACTAAAAACAGCAGTCAGAATATCACCACCAGGTAAGGTGGAACACTGGGGAAACTAAAAACAGCAGTCAGAATATCACCACCAGGTAAGGTGGAACACTGGGGAAACTAAAAACAGCAGTCAGAATATCACCACCAGGTAAGGGGGAACACTGGGGAAACTAAAAACAGCAGTCAGAATATCACCACCAGGTAAGGGGGAACACTGGGGAAACTAAAAACAGCAGTCAGAATATCACCACCAGGTAAGGGGGAACACTGTCAGAATACCACCACCAGGTAAGGTAGAACATTGGGGAAACTAAAAGCAGGTCTTGAGTATCTGCTATTTGTTACGGGGAAAGGCACTTGCTTCCCACCTTCAGTATAATCACTTTTGATTTTTGATATGAATTAATAGATTAAAATCTGAATTTAGTAATGATTCATCATAATGAGTGTTTGAATACCCTTTTTATACTTTTATAGAGTACTAATAATTATATGGATATGACCGGTAAAGACTCCAGAAGTAATGTGATTCCTCCAACCACACTTAGAACAAGTCCCTTGGGTCAGAGTGCACAGGGTCATGGGTCGAGTCAAAGTCAGATTAGTTCTTCACAGGCTTCCCCTAGTAGTGTCTCATTTCCAGGATTCAACAAATCTTTGACGGAGAATTTGTCTGGTTTCCAACACACGATTGGTCCTTCTTCCAAGTATCCAGATTATTCAGGAAGACCAGTGCCAGGCAAGGAACCAGGGCCTATGGAAAAGGACAATATTGGATATAAGGACCCAAGGGGACTTCCCCCAAAACCATTTCCTCGTGCTAGCAGTGACAGCACACTTCATGAGCCAGAAGTCAGTATTTTTGATTACCATATTTCACCCAGTGAGGCTTCCTCCCGGTCAGTGACTCCCCCTCTTCCTCCTTTATCTAACACAGACTCAGATTCCTCAGTGGGAAGTCCCCCTCTTCCTCGAGCCTCGAGTTCTACTCACCTTGCTCCTCATAAAAACCCTGATGTTGTCACCTCCACAACACTAGTGCCCACCGGGGACAAGAAAAAACGAACTTCTCAGTCCCAAATCCCAAACAAAAGTGATAAAAAGCATTCCTCCAAATCATCTCATTCTATAAAGTTCCCACCTCCTCAAATGAATGAGAAGATGCAAGACTCCGGGGTATTGAGTGATGTGAGGGAACTTGGCACAGACAGTGATCTTCCTTTCGATATAGAAGATACTATTTTGACTGTGGATTCTATTGATACAGAAATGCAGACAATTCATGCTGGGATTCAAAAGCTGCAAGGTGATGGAGGAATGCGTGAGAGACTTGACAATCTGGAGGGATTGTATTCAGAGGTTGTCCGTGTGTTGGGGAGCAATCCCCCAAACATGAGGAGGAGATGGAGTCTTGCCAGCTCTGATACCAGCTCACTTCGACGGCCGGTCAGAAAGTTCAAACCCCAGGCAGGGAATTCCAACTCCCGGAGCCATCATCATCACCATCACAAAGACATTAAGTAAGTTTTTAATGTTCACCTGTATTATATTCATAATGATTCAGAATCTTATCCTGACCATTATATTGTGTCAGGTCTTATTTAAGCATGTAACTTATTTTTAGCAATTAGAAAAATTTCAAAATGGTAGAAATTTAACATGGCAAAATTGAAAAAAAAATTCAATAATTCTCTTGATTATAGTCTTGTGTATATTTACATAGAAATGTTAATTGAATTTTAAAAATATCATTAAAATTAATTTATATACTGTGAAATTACAAATTTTTGTGAGGGGTTAATTTTTGTTGTTTTCAACGTATAAAGAGACCCATGAATTCATGTCCACCATGAAATGTTAAATATTACATAAATAACTACAGAACAATTCTTCATCCATGAATTCAAATCCACACGAACCAAAAGTTTTTACTCAAACCACGAAAATTTGACCCCACGAAAATATGTGATTTTACAGTAATCAGGAATTTGATCTTACATATCTCTTTTTTATGAAAGTTTGTATATTATAATTTATTTTACAGAGCCATTAATCGTCGATTCCAAAGACTAGAATCACATGTGGTCACTCTAGCTAGAAGTGTTGCCCATCTTTCGTCAGAGCTTCGTTCCCATAATTCCATGGTCAGTGAACTGGATTCCTTACGCAAAGAGGTGCGAGAGATGAAGGAGCAGCAGTTTATATTGTCCCACCAGTCCGCGGCACAAGGCCACAACTCACTAGAACACAACAAGGGATGGGGTCCCTCCCTGACTAACCCCAAAAGGATCAATAAACTAACTCAGTAAGTTGTAACATAACATTTCCAGGAAAATTCTTCACATTTTAATTTAACACATAAATAAATTGTTGAATCTATCTCTGTTTTATGAAAAGTATTAATTTTGAAGCAAAGATTAACTTTAATATTTTTCCAGGTTTTTCGGACAGGAACCACCACTGATGGAATGGTTCTTGAAGAATTTAGGATATGAGGTAAGAATACAATATTATTACTTTAACATTTTAAATTCCAGATTTGTGCTTAGTGCTTGAAAAGAGGGCTTTTTGATCAGAGTCAATAAATAATTTATTTTTAGTTTAAGCTTTTAAATGCTTATTAACAATTAATTTGATTTGCAGAAATTTGCATCAAACTTTGAGGCTGAACACATTGGAATGTTGGAGCTTCCATACATGACTGAGGAAAGGTTGGAGAAAATTGGAATTCCCATGGGGCCTCGACTACGGATTCTACAGGAAGCACAAAACTGTTTCCAGCATGAAAATCTCAATATATACATTGTCTGAGATTAGGGATGTTTTACAGATATGAAGGAATAAGAATCCAGGAACAAATGAAAGTCCTTTGTTTTTTTAATGAAATTAAGATCATGGGGTAGAAATATGGGAAATATTCTTCAGTATATATTTTTTTAATTATATTTAAGTATAATGTATTCATTTTATTTTATGTTGTATAATCAAAAGAATATTGACGTTTGTTCATCACTTAATAAGGAAGATGTAGCAAGGGTTTTGACAAATCTCAGATGAGGTTAATTGGAATCAATTAATAAATTCGTATTTTGCTATAACACCGTTATAATCAGGGAGGGGTTCAGCAATAACTCAATAGTGCTGTAGTTATTTATAAACATTATAACAGTGTGCAGGGTTTATATATGCTATTTATGATTGTGTTCATTATCAGGTTGAAGCAATATCCATTTTTGAATCCGCAGCTATTTAGTTGTTATTCATAATTGCCTTGTTCTGTGATAATAAAATGATTCTGATATTTATTTTAATTTGTTGTCTACTGTACGTGTTCACTGTATCCAAAGAGAGTCCCTTGCATAAAAGAAAATAATTTTCCACTTGATTGGCATGTTCATATACATGCAATCAAAACTTTCAGAGATAAAAAGTAGAAAACGATGAAATGTGTGAATGGGACCCAGGTCTTGGTTTTCAAGAGATAAAAGTTGGAGAGATCAGGAGTGAATTTGCTTTTTAAAATTTTATAGAGGAAAAGAACTGGACGGAAGGTTCACTTCAAGAGATTGGAGTTTGAGCCATCGAGAGTTACCTGTATATTATTATAACAGTAACTTGATCAAAAGTAAGTCATATCACTTTGGAGTTGACAGGTGGGGATCATCAGATCAAACACAGATCGGAAAAGATTTTCAAAGAAATAATGCACTTGCACTAAATAATCAACAGACACTATCCCACCTTAATTCCAAATTTCACAATTTTGGAAGAGTCACTCTTGATCATCATAACTGTCATTTAGATTACCTGCTAAATACCAAGGAACAGAGAAGATTCTCAAAGAATTATTGCCTTTCACTGCATAATCAGCAGAGCCCCACCCCTAACATCAAAACCCCTGACCTGGTTTTTGCCCCCTTTTTATAACCCCAGGCAGGCAGGAGCCATGAAATTAACAATTTCTGTGCCCTTTTACAGCACTGATTTCATTTGCCAAAATTGTTTGAAATCAGTGGTTCAAGGAAAAAATTGAAAATGTTCAAAAGTTTACAACTGATGACTGATGCACAATGCATATACATTGCTAAACAAAGGATGAAACAGAAAGTAACAGGTCAGTCACCTGAGTGACTCAAATGACCAAAAATTGTGAATAATTCTAAGAGGGGTGAGCTATTTATTTCATTTACTGATTTGCACACAACAAATACAACATTTCCCAATTATTCTGCATAATAAAATTTCAGATAGCATAAAGCATTAGCAGAGTCTAAGTGATCAAAATAAACATTTAGTATAGTACAAATATAAAATATCACACAGAATATGAATATCTAAGTACGAAGGACTCATTCATGATCTAAAAAAAGCTTCAGAAGCAAGTGTTTTGTAACTTACTGCCTTGTAAATGGAAGTTGTATGCCTGAAGGGCGACAAACCCAGTTAATTGAATCCAAGGATCATGATCTGAACAAACTTGGCTTATGTACACCATTTAAGGAAGCTTCCACATATAAAAGTTTTCAATAAAAATTACCCTGTATAACAACTTTAGCTATAAGTAAAATTTGCAATTTTCTAATACACTGTTTAACAAATGGTATCAATCTTTTACAAGGGTATGATATATACCGGTATACAGGAAAAATCTTTAAAATATTTTTTTTTCAAAAACATGTTAGATTGTTTTCTAATTTTCAACAAATGTTTATATACATATCTTCTATCTATTTCCTTTAAATTTCATCCATTCACTGGTTGTAAATTACATCAGTAATGATGCTTTTTTGCTACGTATTCATAAAGATACAAACATGTGCATCTCTCGTTTTTCCTAAAGGATGCTGGTTATAGTGTACACAGTTTCATTCTCATCGTATACCGTAGTGTACACAGATAGCTGGTCATGGCTACCAGACCAGGTTTTACAATTTGTCAACATGCGAGTCCTAAGCAGGCTGTTGAAGTGAGAAGGTGTGTCCTTCCTAGGTAAAAATGTTGTTGTATGCTTGACATTGCTTGTGTGGTTGCAAGGAAAATGTCTGCATGCATTAGGCCTGAATATTTGGTGTGTGTATTTGAGAAGTTTTCCTGTGTGGACAGAAGAGAAATTTTGATAACTTTGACAGTGGTTTTTCAAGGCAGTCTTTGAAAAATGAAAAAATGATGTTTGTTCAAGCCTGTGCTTAAGATTTTCTATAAAAAGAAAATGTATGAGAATGAGCATTTTATTGAAAAATGCCAAAATTGCAAGAAAGGGTAATTTTATGTTAAATCATTTTTCTATGCTAAGGGCATTTTGATTGTTGAAAACATGAACACGCATCACCTAGGAAACAGAGCTGTGTAAATTAAATTGTACATAAAATAACTAAGATGTCTACTTTAGAGGACCACTTGAGACTCTTATTTATCACACATAGTCCTTTTGTTAATAATGTAAGTACTTTATTTGCACCTCTGCCTTTCACCCTTTGAATGCATGCATATCAAAGACTAAAACCTAATTTATCTAGTTGGAAAGTATAAAAAGAAGACTACTTTGTAGCTCAAGCATCTCACTGTGGTTTATCTTGTTCCACAGCGATGTCAATATGCTCTGTTTTTGAATTTTTATGCACTGTTAGCTGGATTGTCTTTAGGTTTCTAATATGTCTGAATACTTCACGTAAATGTGACTCCTGTCTCTCTGATATTAACTTTGTGCATGGTTTGGACCACGTCTTGAGGTCACTGATCAAGGTCAGGAGGTGGTCCCGCTCCCTCTCTGCTTCCCGTAACTGAGCATCGTGTCGCTCAGTAATTAACACCAAGTCATCCAGCTGGTTGTTAATGCTTAGGATCTCGTTCTCCCTCTGAAGTTTTTCTGCCGCACTACTCTTAGAACTCCTCACATACTCTTGATAAAGAACAATGAAAGCAATTGTAAAAATGAAGATATCATTCATCATGTCTGTGGCTAGCGCTATCGCTGCTTCATCAGTCAAAGGATTTATTTTCACTTTGTGGCCTTGATTATACATCAGCATCAATCTAAGATTGGCTTCAGTTCTGTGATAGACTGAAAAAAAAGATACATTCAAATATAATACATGTAAGTTGAAATACATTTACAAGTCTGACACATGTTTGATTTCGCTACTTACCGGTATATAGACAAAAATAATCTGTATATATCTGACTGCATTTAGAATGATTTTAACAGTAACTAGTCAAATGCAGTATACATCATAATTTAATTGTTTGGTAATTATTTATCAATCAACTGTTAATTGTGTATTTGCAAATCTTTTCTGAAACTTTTTGCATCCCGACACATTGATAAGTGTTTGATGCTTTATTTTTGTTATTTGTTCAAAATTTGAATGAAATTGATATATTTAGGTATTTTAATATCAATTAATAACCTAATTAATCCAGCATTTGTAAAATATGTAAGAAGGTTAATAACTGAATTAGTCGATCTAGATAAATTATAAATTAATAACATACCAGACCTGTATATTACTCAGTAAGGTCATTCATTCGGTGCAATATACTGATATGCACAGATACATGTATTCAGGTATTTGGGGTTTGGTATCATTATTTATCAATTTATATTCTTCTCTAGTAAAAAAAAAATTATTACGTTTAATATATACCTTAAAGTTTATACTGATCTGATAATCAAACTTTCTAAATCTAATCCTGCAACATTTCGTAATATTATCTCTACGACTCTAGCTGTGTCTAGACCATGCTTCTCTAACATTTCTTACCTTGCGCTAATGGAATCATTATATTTTTACGTATAAATGGCTTTTCTTTCATGTACCCCGTTACTCTTGTCGCCACAGGTTTACTAACCTGCTTGACAAATAAATATACAAGTTTTATCAGTGGGAATGGCATGTTTATCCTTGTTAAGGAAATTCGAGCTAAACCCGGGATTTCGCTGAAGTAAATTGTACTTATAGTTTTCGGTTCTTCAAAATCTTGTTTTTACTCATAATTATATATATTTTTTTTCATTTATAAGATATAATAATGCATATTTGAACAATGAAAAATTATGACAAGAATGTAGGCGGAAAAACTTATGCGAAACGAAAACTGACATTTTCCCGCCAAAATGAAACTGCATCTTGCAGTGTAAAAAATAAGGTATTGTACCATAGTAAAGGTAGAAATTCATTTAAACGATTTTTATAAAAGATGCATTTAATACGAAATTCGATTATTATCTCCTGGTGTATTCCAAACTTAAGAAAAGTATTATAATTATCATAATTGTCTTTTTCGGAATTTCATCCTTCTTTGGACTGGATATTAGAACAACCCAAAGGAAAATTGATGGAGTCAGATACAAACAAAAAAGAAATATAGAGACTTAGGCTTAGAGCAAAGAAATATGACAGACCTAACGCCAGAGTTAGGCTTGGATGCGATTGACGATTGGTTTAAGATAGGAAAGAAATCAGTGCAGTCTTTAAAAACGGTACCACGAAGTGTCACAGGAGGAAGATATTTTGACACAACAACTCAAAAACCACGTGTTGCTGAAACTGAGAACACCTTCCACCTTCAGCGGTATTTTCTCATTCATAGTTTTTCCTTTACTTTCACATTAGATAATTTGATTCAATTCAATTTTTGCAAATGACGTACATCATACAGAAGTTTGGAATAAAAAGTCTTATTTGAGATTCTACAGTGGAGTCGCCAATTCCGGGTCGTCTCCTATTCCGGGTCACTCGTGTGTATTTTATGCCATATTGTTAAAATTTAAGCGCAAAAAACTTAATGAATACGCTGGTCATGAAGAACTGGTCTTTCTGTATGTAATTAATTACAAAATTTTGAATATCAACTTTAACAGAGCATCCGACAATGGAAATTCTGAAACGCACTCATTAAAGACTTGGATGTTTCTGCTGCGGTGACGAGCTACTTTCGTTTTTGTTCGCTGTAGAAAGGCTGATATAAAAGTTCTAGATAAATAATAAGAGCTCAAAAGTATGGCAAATGCATTTAGTTTTAACTCAGAAATCAATCATAATGATCGCTGCTCAAATAAAATTATAATGATTATTAAATCAAACTGTAGTAGTTTCTCCATTTGCGGGTCACGCAATCCCGTGGCATGAACACTTCAAAATTCTATGTACAAAACCAATCGACAACCATGTATTTACCTTGATTATCAAAAGTATTTCAACTGGAAAATATTTTTTCTAAAAATTAAAATCGAGTTAACCCTTCTAATGCATTTTTTAAATAAATATTAAAATTTATAATTGTGTTATTTTTAATCCTAATATTTTTTTTTTAATTCTGCATACTGCAATTTGTTTTGTTGTAATTGTTAAAAAAAAAATTAAACATATTTCTGTGGTTGTTTTACTTTTTTTCAAGCTGCATGAATTGTTTAATGTTTCCACATCATAAAAATCGAGTTCGGAAACGTTCCATGAATATTACACGACCGTGAAGTCACATGACCCGGAAATGGAGAAAATGATTCGTAACTGGGGAAGCTAGGCCTTGCTGAAATACCCCTGTAAATACTGTTCCCGTGCAGCTACTTTGAAAATGAAAAGGTGTTTGGATGACTTACTTTTTGTTCTTTCAATACATATATTGCATAAAATATAAATTGAACAGATTTGCAAAATATCAAAGAAACACCCTGACGTGACCCGGAATTGGTGACTTCACTGTATATTTAGAGAATGAAAGTAACAATTAGTATACTTAAATACAGTTACCAATCAGAAATGCTTATAATTGTAAATATTCAGAAGACAATTATTATGCTGTTTTATAATGTACTACTGCACTTCTGTGGTAAGGAGGAAGCTCTTAATATCTTGAGATTTCTGTGGAAAAAACATTCTATTTGTTTTCTCTTTGATCTGTTGACATGTGCACAATTCAAACAAATTTAATAGCAATAACACTTTTAATTAGTAGCAGTCACATCAGGTTTTAAAAACGAACCATTGCTTGTTTATTTCAGTTTTACATATATTTTAAACATAATTTTTAGCTCACCTCAATGAAGTTTGGGGGAGCTTATGTGATACCCTCGGCGTCGGCGTCCCGGGTTAAGGTTAAGTTTTTTGGAGCAGTTTTCTTTTTAAGTACTTCTATGTCCTACATTGATTAGACATGCATGGAAGATGTTTCTAATGTGTTTCATTGTACCCGTCAAAGTTTCAGATGCTGCAATTTCAGCAAAGGAATGACCAGGTTAATGTTTTTGGTGCAGGTTAACATTTTTGGTGCAGTTTTTGGTGTAGGTCTCATTTCCGAGTAACTATAAGCCCTATGTTGACCAAACTTACATGGATGGTACATCTTAGGATGCATACTACTAGACTTGCTTCGGATACTGAATCTGACCTACATTTTCCGGTTGAGTGAACAGGTTAAAGTTTTTGGTGCAGGTTTCATTTCGAAGATACTATGAGCCCTATAATGACCAAACTTGCATGGATGGTACATCTTAGGATACATTCTACTAGACTTGCTTCGGATGCTGAATCTGACCTACATTTTCCGGTTGAGTGAACAGGTTAAAGTTTTTGGTGCAGGTTTCATTTCCAAGTTTCTATGAGACATATAATGACCAAACTTGCATGGATGGTACATCTTAGGATGCATACTACCAGTCTTGCTTCGGATGCTGAATCTGACCTACATTTTCCGGTTGAGTGAACAGGTTAAAGTTTTTGGTGCAGGTTTCATTTCCAAGTTACTATGAGACATATAATGACCAAACTTGCATGGATGGTACATCTTAGGATGCATATTACAAGACTTGCTTCGGATGCTGAATCTGACCTACATTTTCCGGTTGAGTGAACAGGTTAAAATTTTTGGTGCAGGTTTCATTTCCAAGGTACTATGAACCCTATAATGACTAAACTTGCCAGGATGGTACATCTTAGGATGCATACTACCAGACTTGCTTCGGATGCTGAATCTGACCTACATTTTCCGGTTGAGTAAACAGGTTAAAGTTTATGGTGCAGGATTCATTTCCAAGTAACTTTGAGCCCTATAATGACCAAACTTGCATGGATGGTACATCTTAGGATGCATACTACCAGACTTGCTTCGGATGCTGAATCTGACCTACATTTTCCGGTTGAGTAAACAGGTTAAAGTTTATGATGCAGGATTCATTTCCAAGTAACTTTGAGCCCTATAATGACCAAACTTGCCTGGATGGTACATCTAAGGGTGCATTCTACTGGGCTGGCTTCAGAAGCTGAATCTGACCTACATTTTCTGGATTAGTGAAAAGGTTAGTTTTTTATACAGGTTTCATTTCCAAGTAACTTTGAGCTCTGTGTTGAACAAACTTGCATGGATGATACATCTTAGGATGCACACTAATGGACTTGCTTCAGATGCTGAATCTGACATACATTTTCCAGATAATAGACCTCGTAAAAGTTATGGGACGGTGCAGGTCTATCACCAAGAAACTATAAGGCTTATATAAACCAAAGTTGCACAAATGATGCATCAAGGGATGAAAACTCTCAATCTTGCTTCAGATGCTGGATTTTAATTACATTTTCATGATGAAGAACTAGTTTTAGGTTTTTCTATAGGTCTATTCCAAAGTATCAAAATTGCATAAATTTTGCATTTTTGGATGTACACTTTTTGTTGGTTAATTGTGTGACTTAATTTGCCTTACTTAAAGACAACATTCGTTGAGGTGAGCTCTGTAATCTCTGATTACCTATGTTTTTTTTTGTAGGAGAACGCCAGCTTTTTCCCAAACAGCCTATGCAGAGGCATATAGGCAGCAGGAAGAGGAGGAATTAATGGGATACACTCATCCACATGTATGATACTAAATAAATGTACATGAATGAATTTATAGTATATATGTTGACATATAATATTGATCATAGCAAAAACTTTTGATGTACATAAAGTTTTTTACATAAGGGAATACATTTTTAGCTCACCTGAGCCGAAGGCTCAAGTGAGCTTTTCTGATCACCTTTTGTACGGCGTCCGTCTGTCTGTCTGTCTGTCCGTCTGTCTGTCCATCTATCTGTCCGTCTGTCTGTAAACTTTTCACATTTTCGACTTCTTCTCAGGAACCGCTGGGCCAATTTCAACCAAACTTGCCACGAAGCATCCTTGGGTAAAGGGGATTCAAGTTTTTTTCAAATGAAGGGCGAGGCCCTCATTCAAGGGGAGATAATTGGGAATTAATGAAAATTTGGTGGTATGTTTTAAAAATCTTCTCAAGAACCACTGTGCCAGGAAAGATGAAACTTATGGGGAAACATCTTCAGGTAGTGTAGATTCAAGTTTGTTCACATCATGACCCCCGGGTGTAGGGCGGGGCCACAATGGCCGACCAAAGTTTTACATAGAAATATATAGGCAAATTCTTTAAAAATCTTCTTCTCAAGAATGACAAAGCCATAATTCATAATATTTATATGGAAGCATCCTCAGATAGTGTAGATACAAGTTTGTTCAAATCATGACCCCCGGGGGTAGGGCGGGGCCACAATGGCCGACCAAAGTCTTACATAGAAATATATAGGAAAATTCTTAAAAGATCTTCTTCTCAAGAATAACAAAGCCATAATTGATAATATTTATATGGAAGCATCCTCAGGTAGTGTAGATTCAAGTTTGTTCAAATCATGACCCCCGGGGATAGGGCGGGGCCACAATGGCCGACCAAAGTTTTACATAAAAATATACAGGCAAATTCTTTAAAAATATTCATTTTAAGAAGGACAAAGCCATAATTCATAATATTTATATGGAAGCATCCTCAGGTAGTGTAGATTCATGTTTGTTCAAATCATGACCCCCGGGGGTAGGGAGGGGCCACAATGGCCGACCAAAGTTTTACATAGAAATATATAGGAAAATTCTTAAAAGATCTTCTTCACAAGAATAACAAAGCCATAATTGATCATGTTTATATGGAAGCATCCTCAGGTAGTGTAGATTCAAGTTTGTTCAAATCATGACCCCCGGGGGTAGGGCAGGGCCACAATGGCCGACCAAAGTTTTACATAGAAATATATAGGAAAATTCTTAAAAGATCTTCTTCTCAAGAATAACAAAGCCATAATTGATCATGTTTATATGGAAGCATCCTCAGGTAGTGTAGATTCAAATTTGTTCAAATCATGACCCCCGGGGGTAGGGCAGGTCCACAATGGCCGACCAAAGTTTTACATAGAAATATATAGGAAAATTCTTAAAAGATCTTCTTCTCAAGAATATCAAAGCCATAATTGATCATATTTATATGGAAGCATCCTCAGGTAGTGTAGATTCAAGTTTGTTCAAATCATGACCCCCGGGGATAGGTCAGGGCCACAATTGCCGACCAAAGTTTTACATAGAAATATACAGGAAAATTCTTTAAAAATCTTCTTCTCAAGAAGGACAAAGCCATAATTCATAATATTTATTTGGAAGCATCCTCAGATAGTGTAGATTCAAGTTTGTTCAAATCATGACCCCCGGGGGTAGGGAGGGGCCACAATGGCCGACCAAAGTTTTACATAGAAATATATAGGAAAATTCTTAAAAGATCTTCTTCACAAGAATAACAAAGCCATAATTGATCATGTTTATATGGAAGCATCCTCAGGTAGTGTAGATTCAAGTTTGTTCAAATCATGACCCCCGGGGGTAGGGCAGGGCCACAATGGCCGACCAAAGTTTTACATAGAAATATATAGGAAAATTTTTAAAAAATCTTCTTCTCAAGAATAACAAAGCCATAATTGATTATATTTATATGGAAGCATCCTCAGGTAGTGTAGATTCAAGTTTATTCAAATCATGACCCATGGGGGTAGGGCGGGGCCACAATGGCCAATCAAAGTTTTACATAGACATATATAGGAAAATTCTTTAAAAATCATCTTTTCTTAAGAATAGCAAAGCTATTGCTCATGGGACTACTTTTGGATTTAAACTTTTCAATAATAAACCAATTTCTACTTTTTCTTAGCCACAGTGCTCAGGTGAGTGATGTGGCCCATGGGCCTCTTGTTTTGATACTCTTTTAATTTAATATGTGTTGAGCATTAACTCCCTCTCCACCACATACGTATATACACGCTTATTTTATTTTCTCTGTGCTTGCAGTGACTGATAAACCTGTCTGATTTTTCTTAGCTATACCACATTGTCATATATATCCACTGTAAACAAATACATGTACAATCACAATGACTGAAATATCTGCTTTTTATACGCTGACCTTAAGACGGGACGCATTATGTTAAAATGTTTTGTGTCTGTCCGTGTGTTAGTTTTTAGCTCACCTGAGCCAAAGGCTCAAGTGAGCTTTTCTGATCACATTTTGTCCGTCGTCCGTCTGTCTGTCTAGCTGTCCGTCTGTAAACTTTTCACATTTTCGACTTCTTCTCAAGAACCACTTGACCAATTTTAACCAAACTTGGTACAAAGCATCCTTGGGTAAAGTGGAATTCAAATTCTTAAAATGAAGGGCCAAGTTTTCTTACAAGGGGAGGTAATCAAGAAGAGACAAAAATAGGATGGGGTCATTAAAAAATCTTCTTCTCAAGAACCACTGGGCCAGGAAAGCTGAAAATTATGTGGAAGCATCCTTGGGTAGTGTAGATATTAAATTGTTAAAATCATGACCCCCGGGGATAGGGCAGGGCCACAATAGGGAATCCAAGTTTTACATGGAAATATATAGAACAAATCTTTAACAATCTTCTTCTCGAGAACCACTGGGCCAGGAAAGCTGAAACTTATGTGGAAGCATCCTTGGGCATTGCAGATATTAAATTGTTAAAATCATGACCCTTGGGGGTAGGGTGGGGCCACAATAGGGAATCCAAGTTTCAATAGATATATTTAGGAAAAATTTTTTAAGAATCGTCTTCTCAAAAACCACTGGGCCAGGAAAGCTGAAACTTATGTCGATATGTGGAAGCATCCTTGGGTAGTGTAAATTCTAAAGTATTAAAATCATGAAAGGGGAGGGGGTAGGATGGCATGATAGGTATAGCAAGAGGGGAAATCTGGTAAAGAACTTCATCACCCAAATTACTCAGGTGAGTGATGTGGCCCATGGGTTATCAATCTTTGTCAGCTGATACATCTTGGGTAGAAGGTGTGCCGCACATTGAAAGTAGGTGGCTATGACCTTTCCTTAAGAAGACAATTAATAGCCAAATATGAAAAAGTCCTTTCCTGCTCATAACTAGAAAATTATTAGACTTTACTTAGAATCATCAAACTTGGCCAGTTTATGCATCTTAGGTTTAATTTAAATGAATTTAAATAAACTATTCAATTACACATCCCAAAAAATGTAAGTATTGCAGTGTCCTCATTAAAAAAAATGTTAAATCAAGAAATTCCCTCAGTCCTGTTTTTTGTCAGCGCAACTCCTCATAAACTGCTGCACAAAATTTCGTCAAACTTTGCAGATATTTAGGACACAACATGTAGATTTGCATTTTACCAGGAAATTCTGATTCCTTTATTTGAATGTCAAATATACCAGCAATCATGACAAGGACATGCTTTGAGAGACTTTCCAAGTACTTTCATATGAACGACACACAACAAAATCCACCTAAGGGGTGACTGGGTCATGACAAACTTAGTCACATCAGACCAGTCATTGACAAAGTTTCAGAGATGTGCTTGAAAAACACAATCCTCACAAAGAGCAGTCCATTGATGAGGGAATGATCGCGTTCAAAGGAAGGTTGTCGTTCAAACAGTATCTGCCGGCCAAACCTTCAAAATTCAGTATAAAAGTGTGGGAATGTGCTTTACTGCACAATGGATATGTACGTGAATTCCAAGTGTACATCGGATGAGTGGCAGACAGAAGACCAGAAGAAGATTCACCACATGGTGAAGGACTTGTCTCGGAAACTGATTGGAAAATCCAGTGTGATTTATATGGACAATTTTTTTTTGAGCCCAGAACTATTTGAACGCTTGTTAGGTCACCTGAGTAAACTCAGGTGACCTATTGCTATCCGTTTTCGTCCGTCGTCGTGCGTTAACATTTGAACATTTTCAGCTTCTTCTCTAAAACCGCTGAACCAATTTCAACCAATTTTGGCATAGCATCTATGGGTGAAGGGGAACAAAATTTGTGAATTTGATGGTCTTTGCCCCCCCTGGGGCTTGGGGATGGGGCCAAAACCACTAAAATTAGTGCAATCTTTAAAAATCTTCTTCTTTACTCCTGGACATCAAGCAGTCAAACTGTTGGTATGATTGTAATCAACATTGAATCCTCTACCAAGATTGTGAAATTCATGGCCCCAGGATCAGGGGCTCTAGTGCTAGGGTGGGGCTATATAGATTATATAGTGAAAATGCATTCTTTAAAATTCCCTCCTCTGCTCATGGGCATTAAATAAACTAACCAAGTGCATAGTCATGTTAAATAAGGCTGCCTCTTCCAAAGTTGTGAATTTCAAGGCCCCAGGGTCAGGGGTTCTAGTGCTAGGGGGAGGGGGGTCTATATAGATTATTTAGTGAAAATGCATAAATTCTTTGAAATTATTCTTCTCTGCTCATAGGCATTAAATAAACTAACCAAGTGCATAGTTATGTTGAATAAGGCTGCTTCTTCCAAAATTGTGAATTTCATGGCCCCTGGATAGGGGGTTCTGGTGTTAGGGTGGGGCTCTATCGATTATATAGTAAAAATGCATAAATTCTTTGAAATTCTTCTTCTCTGCTCATGAGCATTAAATAAACTAACCAAGTGCATAGTTATGTTGAATAAGACTGCCTCTTCCAAAATTGTGTATTTCATGGCCCCATAGTCAGGGGTGTTAGTGCTAGGGCAGGGCTATACAGATTATACAGTGAAAATGCGTAAATTCTTTGAAATTCTTCTTCTCTGCTCATGGGCATTAAATAAACTAGCCAAGTGCATAGTTATGTTGAATAAGGCTTCCTCTTCCAAAATTGTGAATTTCAAGGCCCTACGGTCAGGGGTTCTAGTGCTAGGGCAGGGCTATATAGTTGATTATATGGTGAAAATGCATGAATTTTTTGAAATTCTTTTTCTCTGCTCAGGGGCATTAAATAAAGTAACCAAGTGCATAGTTATGTTGAATAAGGCTGCCTCTTCCAAAGTTGTGAATTTCAAGGCCCTAGGGTCAGGTGTATTGGTGCTAGGACAGGGCTATAAAGATTATATAGTGAAAATGGATTATTTCTTTGAAATCTTCTTTTCTGTGCCTGGGTATTAAACCAATGAACTATGTACATAGTTATGAGAAGGAAGGATGCCTCTTTGAGATTTGTGAATTTCAGGGCCCCTGGGTCAGAGCTTCATGTGTTAGGGCAGGGCTCAAATCTTTGTATAATGAAAATGGATGAATTCTTTGAAAAACTTTTCCTTTGCTCCTTGGTATTATGCCAATGATGTGCACATAAGTACATATTTATGATGAAGAAAGCTGCTTCTTCGTAAATGGTTAATTTCCGGGCCCCGGGGTTGTATTTGGAGGGGGAAGGGTACATAGTCTGAATGTATTGATATTAATCAACAATTTAATATAATTCATATTAAAATTTCTGAAATGTTGAAATATGTGGCCCTAGGGTCAGTGGTTCCTGTGGGGTGGGGTGCACAACTGGTTATAAATAGAAATTCGTTTTCTCTTTGTTGCTCTGATCTACTTCTGGGTATTAAGTAACCAAAGTAAGCATGCTAAGTGTAAAATGATGATAAGCAATGTTGTCTCTTTCAAAATTGTGAATTTCATGGCCTCTGGTTTAAAACATGAATCAAATTCAATTGTTGGAAAGTTGTTACAGGATACTCAGGTGACCTTTAAGGCCTGTGGGCTTCTTGTTACATGAAGGAATCTACTGTTGAGGCACTGTCTGAATAAATTGCTGTGGAATGCCAGAAGCCATCAAAAGTGCCAAATTAAAGAACAAAGGAGATAGCCTTCCTATGCAGAAAGAAAACCTGGTAGCTACAGCATGGAAAGTCAAGAAGATGGTGACGTACCTCAGCACAAACTGTAAACCAACACAGACCGGATTTGTACAGTTGCCAAAAGGACGGGACTCTAAAGGATGTTTCAGCTCCACAAGCGTATCTGAACTTGGTGTGGACTTGGCTGAACAAAAGAGGATGCAGTATTCTACTTGCAGAAAAGCCAAGAAATGGTACAAGTACCTATTCTGGTTTTGTTTCGATCTTGCTCTTGTCAATGCCTTGATCTGTTTGCAAGAGTCCCCTAACCATAAATTGGTGACCAAAACAAACAAGGGAAAAAGGGGAACACAACTGGATTTCAGAATGGCAGCCTAGCAGATGATCGGAACATTTAGAGGGAGCTGAAAGCGAAAAGCACCAGCAGTTACAGGAAACTGTGGAGATGCTCACTGGACGATTCAATTCGAAAAACCCGGGAGATGTAATTAAGGGATGTGCCTAACAGGAAAAGAAACATGAGTTCTCTGTACTTAATGTAGACAATGCAATGTTAGACTGTGCATAAAGAATGAGTGCTTCTTCAAGTACCACCAAGAACTGCTTAAGTGAATTAATCATCTGATTACACCTACAGTGTATATTTCAAGGAATGCTGTGTAAATATTGTACATTGTAAATGAATAACATTTTTAGCTCACCTCAACGAAGTTGGGGGAGCTTATGTAATACCTTCGGCGTCGGTGTCGGCGTCCCAGGTTAGGGTTAAGTTTTTTGGAGCAGTTTTCTTTTTTAGTACTTCTATGTCCTATATTTATTAGACATTCATGGAAGATGCTTTTAATGTGTTTCATTGTACCAGTCAAAGTTTCAGATGCTGCAATTTCAGCAAAGGAATAACCAGGTTAATGTGTTTGGAGCAGGTTAACATTTTTGGTGTAATTTTTGGTGTAGGTCTCATTTCCAAGGAACTATAAGTCCTATGTTGACCAAACTTGCATGGATGATACATCTAAGGATGTACACTACCAGACTTGCTTCGGATGCTGAATCTGACCTACATTTTCCGGTTGAGTGAATAGGTAGTTTTTGGTGCAGGTCTCATTTCCAAGTAACTATAAGCCCTATGTTGACCAAACTTGCATGGATGATACATCTTAGGGTGCACATTACCAGGCTTGCTTGGGATGCTGAATCTGAGGTACATTTTCCAGTTGAGTGAACAGGTTAAAGTTTTTTGGTGCAGGGTTCATTTCCAAGATACAATGAGCCCTATAATGACCAAACTTGCATGGATTGTACATCTTAGGATGCATACTACCAGACTTGCTTCGGATGCTGAATCTGACCTACATTTTCTGGATTAGTGAACAGGTTAAAGTTTTGGGGGCAGGTTTCATTTCCAAGTTACAATGAGCCCTATAATGACTAAACTTGCATGGATGATACATCTTAGGATGCATACTACCAGACTTGCTTCGGATGCTGAATCTGACCTACATTTTCTGGATGAGTGAACAGGCTAAAGTTTTTGATGCAGGATTCTTTTCCAAGTGTGAAGTAACTATGATCTCTTTAATGACCTAATTTGCATGGATGATACATCTAAGGTTGCATTCTACCAGACTTGCTTCAGATGCTGAATCTGACATACATTTTTTTCTGGATGAGTGAAGAGGTTAAGTTTTTATGCAGGTTTCATTTCTAAGAAACTATTAGCCCTATGTTGTGCAAACTCGCATGGATGATACATCTTAGGATGCATACTAATGGACTTGATCCGGATGCTGAATTTGACATGCATTTTCTAGATAATGGACCAGATAAAAGTTATGGGTGCAGGTCTATTACCAAGAAACTGTAAGGTTTAAATAAACCAAACTTGCCCAAATGATGCATCAAGGGATGAAAACTCTTAAACTTGCTTCAGATGCTGGATTTTGATCACATTTTCGTGATGAAGAACTAGTTTGAAGTTTTTATATAGGTCTATTCCAAAGTATCAGATCAAAATTGCATAAATTTGGCATTTTTGGATGTACACTTTTGTTGGGTAATTGTGTGACTTTGCCTTATTTAAAGACAACATTTGTTGAGGTGAGCTCTGTAATCTCTGATTACCTATTGTTGATGTAATTAATTAATTATTTTGGATTTATAAAATTGAATTCATAAAATTGAAATTGATTGAAAGACTTTTTGAATTTTCAAAATATTCCAATTAATAAATGAGATATTAAGTTTTATGTGTGTACCATTCTATCCAGCAGCAAATCTTGTCAGGTGCAAAATCTGTCTGCTTCTGCAGTGAGAGATAACAGATGCTAGTACAGCTGTAGTAGTGAGCAGATAGAGGGGCTGTGGTAGATAAGAAGTTAAATAAGCTCCAGATGTACACAATGTTTTCAAAAGAATACACTGCGTACCTACCAGGTTATGGGAAAAACATCTTTAACTGTTGAATTTTTCCCTTCTCTTTTCAGCAACAAAACCGGACTTCAGCAATAAATAATGACTTGGAACATTTGGATCTGGACAGTATTGCCACATCTACAGTGGCAATACCACATGACCTTGTACCTTCCAATGCCATGGATGTCTATCAAAATTATGACTTTGAACACAAATACGAGAGCAGTTTACCAATTTCTGTCCACAAAGATGAGGTAAAGTGCTATTTATAATACAGTTTTGACTTGATTTTTGTAAAATAAGGAACAATGTTAGAAAAAGCTGAAGAAACTGAAGAATTTAAACAAATTTCAAGTTTGGGTGCTACTTATTACTAATTTTACCAGAAGTTCAAATTACATTATCAAAATTATTGATGGTAGAGGATAACAGTAGGTTATAGTTCATAGACATCTTATGTCTATTTGTTTTGCAAAGGTAATTGGCACAATTGAAAGCAATCAGGTCACCATTGTACAAGGAGCCACAGGATCAGGAAAGACAACTCAGGTACCCCAGTACATTCTGGACCACTATGCCAAGTCGGGGCGCTATTGTAACATTATAGTCACTCAGCCAAGAAGGATCGCAGCCATGAGTATTGCCAGAAGAGTATGCTCTGAAAGAAAATGGCAGTTAGGAACAGTTTGTGGTTATCAGGTAAAAAAAAAAATCAAAAACTTACCTTTCTAAGTCGAACCTTATCATGATCTCAATAGGGCCAAGAAATAATGTTGACATATCCAAGAGTTCAAAATATCCAGGGGGAAAAACTTACTGAATACGTAACTGGGACTTTCAGATCTATGTGACATATCCAAAGTATTTAAGACATCTGTGTTCGAGATACATGTACCATTCAATGAATGCTCAACTGCAGTTGATTACTTGCTTATTGTAAAAAAAAGTTCCTACATAATGTAAATTTACATGTAAATCAAATTCTCTGGATAACTTTATAAATGATGAATGTTATAAGGTTGGGATGGACAAACAGGCCTCAGATGACACAAGAATTTTGTATGTCACAACTGGAGTACTGCTGAGAAAACTGGTCAGCAAGAAAAACATGCTGGAGTACACACATGTTGTACTGGATGAGGTGAGATTTCTGTAAAATAATAATAAAGGCTCACAATCACCCTATGTTATATTAAATATTGAAAAGGCTAACAAGCTATCCAATGAGGCAGAAGAATGACAAGAAACTAGGAGACTTATTGTTCACAGAACAATAAGAGGTCTTTCCACCTTCTTTGAATTTCAATTTTGTTTTATATCTGACTCCTTAAAATTAGATTCCATGAATAAGAAACCAAAATTGTCATAAAGGATAGAAAAAAATGAAATGACCTTGACCTTTGACCTTGAGAAAATGCTCAAGGACAAAGGTCACGGGTCACAATGCAATTGACCTCATGCTTCTATGACTTATAGTTTTTAAGTTATAAGGTTTAATAATAAGTACAATGACGTTTAAGGGCAATAACTCATATAAGAGGTCATCAGATCCATTTGCACTTATACAGTGTAGTTATGCCTTAAGATCCTAAAGACATTAGTGAAGGTTTGGTGTCTCTACGGTCTACAGTTTCGGAGGAGTAGCAATTACAAGGTTTTTTGCACAAGGGGCAATAACTTTTAAAAGGGTTAATCTTAGGGAACAAAAATGAAATATTTAAAATAGTTTTAAGAGTACTTATTAATGATGCTAAGATATTAAGTATATGTTTAAAGACAAAAGAGATATAAAAAAAAAACAATTTCTCAAATTTCGAATGACCTTGACCTTTGACCTTTGCATTAATTTTATGATCAAAGGTCAATGAATCTTATGCAGTTGGTCCCATGTCTCTATCACTTCTTGTTTTGAAAATTTTTAATTATTTCTAAAATTAAGAAAGTTTCAGGGGCAATAACTCATTGAAGGGGTCACCAAATACTTTCGCAATGAATAGATTCCAGAGTCCTCTCAATTAGTCGAAGACTTTAGTGAAGGTTTCATATTTCTACGGTTTACAGTTTCGAAGGAGTAGCGATAACAAGGTTTTTCGTACAAAGGGCGATAACTTTTAATAGGGTCAATCTTAAGGAATACGAATTAAATCTTTAAAATAGTTTTAAGAGTACATATTAATGATGCTAAGACAGTTTGTATATGTTAAAAGACAAAAAAGATATGAAAAGAGCTTAATTTCTCAAATTTGGAATGACCTTGACCTTTGACCTTTGCATGAATTTCATGATCAAAGGTCAATAAATCTTATGCAGTTGGTCCCATGTCTCTATCACTTCTTGTTTTGAAAATTTTTAATTATTTCTAAAATTAAAAAAGTTTCAGGGGCAATAACTCATTGAAGGGGTCACCAAATACTTTCGCAATGAATAGATTCCAGAGTCCTCTCAATTAGTCGAAGACTTTAGTGAAGGTTTCATACCTTTACGGTTTACGGTTTCGGAGGAGTAGCGATAACAAGCATTTCTTGCGAAAGGGGCAATAACTTCGAAAGCAGTCATAGTTCATACGCGTTGGGTCAAATTTGTTCCTAACTTTTAATGACCTTTACGATGAACAAAAAGTCTTTTCGATAAATGTCGAAACAAAAAATCAGCGGAAGAAAAATAAGAATAACTAGGAGACTTATTGTTCACAGAACAATAAGAGGTCTTTCCAGCTTTTTAAGTGTTTCCGTGTCATTTGGGTTGAAAAAACGAAGAAAAACGCAAAAAAAAAATTTAAAAAAAAATAAAAAAAAAAATAAGGTGCTCCAGCAGGATTCGATCCCTGGACCCTCCGATTAGCAGGCGAGCGCTCTAACCACTACGCCACGGGTTCCGTTGAAAATGTGTTGTATTATTGTCGAGTTAAAGTTAACGGAATTTCCTTGATTCATTGACCAGTCAAAGAGTTCCACTTGAGACACTTCTGACAAGCTCCTGGGAGTATATGTGAGTTTGAATGAGATTGTTTTCGAGTTAAAATGTAAGGGATAGGGTCCGATTACAATTATGATATTGGTATTAACGGGGATACATGCATTTGAGGTTGCGTAGCAATTTATGTATTTGAAAAAGGCCTCGTTTGTTTTGACAGATATGGTCAATTCATAGATAAGATTTAATAATCATTTCTATTTGAATTGAATTCATAGTTACCAGCATAAATTAAACTTGAAACATGCATCTCAGGGAAAAAAAAAACGGTGTCATTGAAAGCGTGGAAATTTATTTGACAGGAAAAATCGCCGTTTTCTAGATTCATTCCATTAATATTAAATCTAAATAAAATTGACATAAATTCCACATACTAAAGAAAGCAAGAATATTTGGTATCGAAATATCGTATTAGAGCAGGAGAATCAAGTGATATTAACAACAATCGAAGAAATAGCCAATACAAACTTTATTTAATTTTCATACTTATCAACAATTCTATTTCAGACAGAAAAAAAAATGTAGAATTTGCCGATATTCACTAGAATTTAATTGCACTTAAGAGACTCACTGTAAAACTCTCAGGGCAGTTTCTTTGAGGTGTCTTCTACATGCTAAACTGAATTTTATCTTGATCTGTGATGTCTTTTGAGTTGTAGAAAAATTTTCTATGCCACTATTGATTTTTTTTTTTAGAGAAATGGGGGGGGGAGGCGGTTGTAATATATAAGTGTTTGTTGACATGACAGTTATAAATACCTCCACATAATTAAGCTTGATTGTGACCTTTGGATCAAAGGTCAAGGTCATTTATCAAGGTCAAAGGTCAAGGTCATCCAAAAAAAAAAAAGCACTTAGCCTTATAAACTTGAGTTTTACACTTGAAGCTGAATCTAGGTAAAGAGAATGAATATATCTTTTTAAACTTTTGATAAAAGGTCAAAGGTCAAGGTCAAATATCAAGGTCATTTTAACCAAAAGCCCGTAAATAAGCAATTTTGATACTTTCCCAATGACCTTGACCTTGACCTAATATTCAAGGTCAAAGGTCAAAAGATCTCATGCAGTTGGGCCCATGTCCTTACTACTTGTCGTTAAGAAGTTTTTAGTTCTTCATAAACATCATAAACTGCCAGGGGCAATAACTACTTAAAATGTTTACGAATTCTTTCGCACTAATAGAATGAGAAGTGTACTAAATTAGTCGCAGACATTGTAGAAGGTTTCGTACCTCTACGGTTTACGGTTTCGGAGGAGTAGCGATAACAAGGGTTTACACTGAAAGGGGCACTAACTTTTAGAGGGTTCAATCTTAGGGGACAAGCATGGAATCTCTGAAATGGTTTTAAGAGTACATACTAAAGATGCAAAGAAGTTTAGAATTTGGTAAAGAACAGAAGAGCTATAAAAAATGCTGAATTTTACCTATTTTGAATGACCTTGACCTTTGACCTTGACCTAGATTTTAAGGTCAAAGGTCAAGAAATCTTTTGCATTTGGCCCCATGTCTCTACGCCTTGTCGTTTTAGAAAAATTCTTGATATTTGTAAACATCGCAAACATTCAGGGGCAATAATTCATTATAGGAGTTTATGAATCCTTTCGCAATATTTGATTGGAGAGTCTACTAAATCAGTCGTAAACATTAATAAAGGTTTGGAATCTCTGCGGTTTATGGTTTCGGAGGAGTAGCGATAACAAGCTTTCATTGCGAAAGGGGTCGTAACTCCGAAAGGGGTCAAAGTTCATATACGCAGGGTCAACTGCAAAAATCTTTTACGGAGTACATTTCTATCGACTGAAAATCTTTTCGATAAATCTTGAAACAAAAAATCACACGGCGGAAAAATAATAAAGAAAAAGGAAAAAAAGAAACAGAAGAATATCAATAGGTCTTTCCAGAGAAAGCTGGAAAGACCTAACTAGGAGACTTATTGTTCACAGAACAATAAGAGGTCTTTCCACCTTCTTTGAATTTTTCAAATTTGTTTTATATTTTACTCCTTAAAATTAAATTCCATGAATAAGAAACCAAAATTGGCTAAAAAGATAGAAAAAATGAAAATAAAAAACATGGAAGTGACCTTGACCTTTGACCTTGAAAAATTATTCAAGGTCAAAGGTCAAGGGTCAAAATGCAATTGACCTCATGCTTCTACGACTTATAGTTTTCAAGTTATAAGGTTTTATACTAAGTACAAAGAAGTTAAAGGGCAATAACTCATATAAGAGGTCATCAGATCCTTTTGCATTTATACAGTGAATTTAGGGCTAAAGACCTTGAACACATTAATGAAGGTTTGGTGTCTCTACGGTGTACGGTTTTGAAGTAGTGGCGAAAACACGGTTTTTCGTATAAGGGGCAATAACTTTCAATAGGGTCAATGTTAGGGGACAAGAATGAAATCTTTGAAATAGATCTAAGAGTACATATTATTGATGCAAAGACTGTTTGTATATGTAAAATGACAAAAGAGATATAAAAAGAGCTTATTTTCTCATTTTTGGAATGACCTTGACCTTTGACCTTTGCATAAGTTTAAAGGTCAAAGGTCACTGATTCTTATGCACTTGGTCCTATGTCTCTATGACTTCTCGTTTTGAAAATTTTTAATTATTTTTAAAATTCAAAAAGTTTCAGGGGCAATAACTCATTAAAGGGGTCACCGAATGCTTTAGCAATGAATAGATTGAAGAGTCCCCTTAATTAGTCGAAGACATTTGTAAAGGTTTCATACCTCTGCGGTTTACGGTTTCTGAGGAGTAGCGATAACAAGCATTTCTTGCGAAAGGGGCCATAACTTCGAAAGCGGTCAAGGTTCATTTACGCAGGGTCAACTGCAATAATCTTTTAAGGAGTACATTCTTATGGATTATAAATCTTTTCGATATATCTTCAAACAAAAAAACATGCGGCGGAAAAATAATAAAAAAAAAGAATAACTAGGAGACTTATTGTTCAAAGAACAATAAGAGGTCTTTCCACCTTCTTTGAATTTTAATTTTGTTTTAAAATTTAATTCCATGAATAAGAAACCAAAATTGTCTTAAAGGATAGCAAAAATTAAAAATGAAAAAAAAATTATATGACCTTGACCTTTGACCTTGAAAAAATTTTCAAGGTCAAAGGTCAAGGGTCACAATGCAATTGACCCCATGCTTCTATGACTTATAGTTTTCAAGTTATGAGGTTAAATAGGAAGTACAAAGAAGTTAAAGGGCAATAACTCATGTAAGGGTTCATCAGATCCTTTTCCACTTATATAGTGAAGTTATGCCTTAAGACCCTTAAGACATTAGTGAAGGTTTGGTGTCTCTACGGTCTACAGTTTTGGAGGAGTAGCGATAACAAGGTTTTTTGCACAAGGGGCAATAACTTTTAAAAGGTTTAATCTTAGGGGACAAGAATGAAATCTTTGAAACAGTTTTAAGAGTACATATTAATGATGCATAGACACTAAATATATAATGAAAGACAAAAAAGATACAAAAAGAGCTGATTTTCTCATTTTTGGAATGACCTTGACCTTTGACCTTTACATGAATTTTAAGGTCAAAGGTAAATGAATCTTATGCAGTTGGTCCCATGTCTCTACGACTTCTTGTTTTGAAAATTTTTAATTATTTGTAAAATTCAATTACTTCCAGGGGCAATAACTCATTGAAGGGGTCAACGAATACTTTTGCAATGAATCATTGGAGTGTCTACTAAATTAGTTGAAGACATTAGAGAAGGTTTCATTTCTCTACGGTTCATGGTTTCGGAGGAGTAGCGATAACAAGGTTTTTCGCAAAAGGGGCTATAACTTTAAAAAAGTTTAATGTTAAGGGACAAGAATGAAATCTTTGAAATAGTTTTAAAAGTACATATTAATGATGCATACACATTAACTATTTGATGAAAGACAAAAGAGATATAAAAAGAGCTATTTTACTCGTTTTTAGAATGACCTTGACCTTTGACCTTTAAATGAATTTTAAGGTCAAAGGTCATTGAATCTTATGCAGTTGGTTTAATATCTCTACGACCTCTGGTTTTGAAAATTTTTAATTATTTGTAAAATTCAAAAAGTTTCAGGGGCAATAACTCTTTGAACAGGTCAATGAATACTTTCGCAATAAATCATTGGAATGTCTACTAAATTAGTTGAAGACAATAGTGAAGGTTTCATTTCTCTAGTAGCGATAACAAGCTTTCTTGCGAAAGGGGTAATAACTCCGAAAGGGATCAAAGTTCATATACGCAGGGTCAACTGTGAAAATCTTTAATGAAGTACATTCTTATGGACTACAAATCTTTTCGATAAATCTTGAAACTCAAAATCACACGGCGGAAAAATAATAAAAAATAATAAAAAAAAGAAACAGAAGAAAATCAATAGGTCTTTCCACAGAAAGGTGGAAAGACCTAATAAACAGAAGAATATCAATAGGTCTTTCCACAGAAAGGTGGAAAGACCTAATAATAAACATAAGCAAATCAATAGGTCTTTCCACAGAAAGGTGGAAAGACCTAATAAACATAACAAAAGTTTAAATTTAAATCCTTGATTAAAACTTATGATTTATTAACATGTATTTTGTAGGTAAGTTACAATGTACAATTTCTTTTTTAAAAAGCATAATGGAAGTGAAAAAAAAATTTAAAAACATGCAATAGTAGTCAAAATTTTGGAAAGGTCAGAATTAACGGTAGGGATGCCACTGTTCCCAGAAGATCTAAAAAATGTTGGAACCATGAAAGCTCTAGTCAGACAGTTATTTTATCGTACAATTAAAATTATCGGATTTCTACCTTGGTCAGGTTCACGAGCGGGATCAGGACACAGACTTCTCCCTGTTGATTGTACGGAAGCTCCTCAGGACAAACTCTCGTCATGTCAAGGTGGTTCTCATGTCAGCCACATTTGATTGTGACTTGTTCGCGCAGTATTTTGCTCTGCCGGTGAGGGATCAGCTAGAGCCTGCCCCTGTTGTGACTGTAGATGAAACCCCTCACAAGGTCTCAGAGTATTACGTGGAGGACTTTCAAGGACTGGGTCAGGTTAGATCATTACTATTGCAGTGTTGGATAGACTGGGTGATGGTAGCAGAATGTTTGATTTGCATTACCCTAGGAAATGCACTCTTACTTATAGAGAACTTTTGTACTTTTGCACTCATGATTGCATTTTTTGGGCAATCCAAAAGCAGGTAAGGGTACATGTAGCTCCATTTTATATTTTTTTTTCATTTTCCCAAAGATACATGTATTTATTTATGATAACTATCTAGCACATTACTTGGTATAGGATCTCTGCATCAAGTTATTGGAATAGTGTTAGTATCTATGCTCCTGGCTGTTACTTCTTTTAATTTTTGCAAATATTCATATTCGAAGTAGATTTACATGCCCTGTTTCTGTGGTCAAGTTAATATTATTGTTGAGAAAGTCTGATATATTAATAGATTCCCCCACTAGATCCATATGATGCCACAATATCAAAGGAAGCCTTTGCCCTAGCAGCTCGATTGATTGAAGAATTTGACAAAATGGAAGTAAAGTTACAAGGGTATGTCAGTTGAGTTTCAACTTTTATTTTGTATGTAATGTGTTATGCAGTAAAATGCTCTAAAATAAACTATGGAGTCTGTAAAGCTCTCTTCGAGTGCTTTAACTTCTCCTGAAAATCAGTAAAATCAGCACAATCCAACGTTATTTGGGATGTCTTATAAAGAAATTAGAAAGTAATAAATCACCACTATCGTTATTGATTTAATGATAACATTTTGTAATTATTAAAATTTGAAGTTTTATTGTAGGAAATTTGAAGATAGGAATTATGCGCAGTACCGGGGTACTGTATTGGTGTTTCTGCCTGGTGAGTCAAACTTTGTAATATAACATTTAGATACGTACAAAGAAACATGATTAAAATTTGTTATGCACTGTATTTAGTATAAATTTAAGGTTAATCATAAACCAATGATAATAACCTGGTTTCTTCTTTGGTAAAGGTATGGTGGAGATCGATGATATGCATGACTATCTGATGCCTTTAATGAGGAACAAGTGAGTTATACAGAAATAATCCTTAAATGTGCACAGCTCCTCATTAAACTTTTCATTTGTTATTTTCTGAAAATATTTGTCAATGAAGAAGAGCATTTAACCACATGGCTTCTTGTAAGGATGGTTTGTGCCTTTATTAAGTTCTGTTGAATTGTTTAGCCTATTGAATTTACATGTATGATAAGTTTAGCTTAAGGATGAATTCTGCTGATCATTTTACCACAAGTGGGTCTTCGTACTTAAACGTGTCGTAAAATTCAAACTGACAACAATTTAAAAACAAGTTTTTAAAGTTTTTATGATTTACATGTTTAACTATACTTATTTTTAAATAAAAAATCTTTCTAATTTGTATTGATGATCAAGACGTGTGGAAAAATAAGATATTTACGACATAGGCCTAAGAAAGTCGACAAGTGAAATCGACATGATCGAGAGGGGAAGAGTACGGGATTTCCCGTTTCAAAGCGAACAGGAATATCCAATGGCACTCCGTTAAAAGGGCCAACCGACAGAAATTTTAAAACATTTAAAAAATCGCCGATATCACAATCAGGCCATGTACATTCTCGAAAGCGGTCCCCAAACATGCCAGCCAGGAGCGCCGAAGTGTGCTGACGATGTTCCAGTAGCAGTGGAAAAGCGAAAATGTAGGTTTCCGATGCTTTCAAACTTATTGAAATAGCAATGTTTATGCATTATAGATACAAAAGTTTCAAAATACCTAGTATACTGTCACATCGCAAACTGAACATATTATATTCTACATACTGTACATGTAGGAACGTTAGGCATAAGGGGTCTTCAGATTCGTGCAGACGACAATATTCGTATTATCCTTTTCATTGCAACTTTAGCTCGTAGTATATGGTAAAATTCCTTTGAAATTGTAAATGCAGAATATCTATCCAAAATTTATAGATATACCGTACGAAAATAATAAGATAACATCTATAATTTTTAGCTGTTTACATTCGGTAAAAACTAGGTCGCTTCATTCTATGGCGGCCTATGCGGGTAAAAAAAATGGAATATTTCTGAAACATCATAGAACATATAGAAATTATTTGATTCTAAACTACAGGCTTGGGTTCATAAAAACAAAGTCAGATAAACAAAATAATAATTTTACATTTTTTGAACAATGAAATTAACAGTAATTATAATGTATTTTTTTTCTAAAATAATTTTTTTTCAGGTAAGTCTTGTTGTCACAAGAATCACAAATGAACTTAAGAAGAGAGCAGGTTTTTAGAACCACTAGAATCGGATGGAGAAATCCATGCAAATCAGACTGAGAAAGTGGGACTGGATTTGACTAATCCCAGGGAAGCCACCATCCAACACCACAAACCAGAACCCAATCCAGAACCCGCAGGGCAAGAGAAAGAGAGGACATCTAACAAACTATTATGAAGTTTTATTTGTTAAATAATTACTTTTTGTTCATAAAAAGCTTTTCTTAACAAAATTGCAATTATTACCTGAAATTATTACACAAATTTTGAATATTTTGCGAATAAAACACATACTTTGAAGCCTAAATGCCTTTATTTATTTTCATGAAATGCTAAAAAAAAGAAATAGGGGGTGGGGATATAAAAAATATCAAAACTTTCTTATATGTACACTAACCCCTACTTTTCATACTGTGAAAAGGAACCATAATACCTAAAGAAACTGTACAACAATTTTCTCAAAAAGTTTAATTGTAGAAATATGTTTTTCTCTGTTTTTTTGAGCAATTTTATGGGGAAAAATTTACCTAAATTTGACACCGGTGAGCAACATTTTAAGGTACAAGTTATCTATTTGGTGTTTATTTGCTCATATTTTGCTTTAAAAATTCACTTTGCAATACTTTCAAGTAAATTTAAGCCAAATTAGGTTTAAATTGAGTGTATTTGTAACTTTATGAGGTATTTTTATGGTCTAATAGCTATTTTAATGAAATTTCAAATGCTCTATTTTGGCCTATGTTGGAGGGGTTGAATCTCTCTTGGATGAACACTTACATACACTTTTCTTGTCTTTAAATTATTCCTTGGATATTAAACTTTCAGAAAAATATAATTTAATCTACGTTTTTTTTCCCGGATATCAGCAGAATACATCCTTAATTTGTTTTTCACTCATTTTAGTCTGAAGATAATTCCTTTACATTCCACAATTACTGTGGAGGAGCAGACGAGGGTCTTTGACATACCAGAAAATGGCCAGAGAAAGGTTGGCATATGTACATTACAAAACTGACTTATTGAAATTCTGTTGATTTTCAGAATTAGTAATTTATAAAAAGTGAGTAGTGAGAGAAACTCAGATATTGTATTTTATTGCCAGGTTATCCTGTCTACAAACATTGCTGAAAGCTCAATAACAGTCCCTGATATCAGATATGGTGAGTATTAAGTGAGTTTTTACAGCAATGCAGCAGTAACTTTTTTTTTCGTATTGAGAAGAATTTTTTACAACATTTTAATAGTCATTGTAGTTCATTACATATCAGCAGTTTAATACTTCAAGAAGTTTCTTTTTACTATCAGTTTTTTACACCTTTACTATTTTTTTACTGTTCTGTTTACAGTGATAGACTTCTGTTTGACAAAGAATTTAATCAGTGACCCAGATACAAACTACACCAGTTTACAGGTGGAATGGGCCTCTAAAGCCAATTGTATCCAGAGAAAAGGTTATGTATTATTAAATCAATTAGAATGGTTTTGTTTACCATATTATACTTTCATGATAGGAAAGCAAAGAAATAATTTACCATTTTAAACATTTGCACCTGGGAATTTTGGTTTGATTTTTTTATATTGAAAAAATTTAGCTTTTTAATTTTTTTATTGTACATAACTTCTGTCATAGAAATAAGTGAAATTTTTTTTTCTTTATATTATTTTGAGCTTGTGAAACTTAAGCAGCTCTTACAGGTATCTTCCATACTAAGGTAGCTTGAGAGTTTACTGTCTGACCAAAGACTTACACTGGGCATTGAGGAGAAAAATTATCCGGTAATGTTTGAGATAAACTCTAGGGTATCTCTAGCTGTATATCTGTAGCTTGTCGGTCTGAAGAAAATTGTGACAGATGACCAGAGATCTACACTTCCATCAATAGCAAAATCTGTATATTTATTGTTCTCAAAAAGTTGTGCTTGGGTCTGGATTAATTTCTACAAATTTTTACCTCACTTGCAAAAAAGATATACATGTATTTCAAAGATTTGAAAATAATCCTTAATTCTCTATGAAGCACTCTCATAGTTGGCATCTGCATGAAGTCCGTAGAATCAAATTATTTTGCTAACTAATTGGCTTATAGTATAAAGAGACAACATTTTTGATGGCCCCAATTTTTGGGCAAGGAGGGCTATTAAAAACAGTTACTGTATAAGGAATGTTTTGTAGTGGAAAAAGTTGAAAAATATGTTAGGAAGACATGGTTTGTAATATTTTGAGCTGAAAGTTTTTAAAATATGGAGATTTATGGGGAAGAAGGACCTTAAGCTGAAAAAATACTTGTCGTTCAATTTTTTTCATACTTTGTATATCTTTAATTTAGTATGTCCCACATACCTTACAGCAGATATAACAACAGGTTTCTAGACTTATTTTTGAGATAATGATTGACAAATACTATACCCAACAGTGTTTAAGTGGAGTTTTTATTCTCAATGTTTCTGGGCCCATTACTCGGTCCATAATGAATTTTTTTCAGCATAGATAAAAAATATGTCAGCGAACATGTGTCTTTTAAAATATTTCAGAGTATGAATAGGGTTAAAAATTCATTAAAGCAAGATTCTTTTGTTATACTGCATCTGGAGACGGAAAATTGTGTACTTTTTAAGACAATTTAAACAACCAAAAAATTAATTTGCAAAAAATCCTATCATTCAATATTTGAAAATTTACGTTGAAATGCAACATCATCATGTTATTGATTAACTGTAAAAATATTGATTGGTGGAACTGAGCTCAATATTACACAGGGCATAGTTAAACAAGACAAGAGCATGAGAAAAACGTTTCATGTTTACATTTCTCGAGTATGGGAAAACCCAATTATAACGTCATACATTTACGAATTAAGCGAAATAAGATATACCTACAAAAATATTTCCGTCAACTATTATGTAAATATATTTATTCACAAAATACCCCATCATGTACTGATCATGACCCGTTTTTAAGATATTTTACTACCTGTGTTTTACAGTGTATAATCTCACTGTACTAAGAGATCCACTATGACATCAACAACTCGTTGGACGCGCAGTGTAGGGAAACAGAAGAGTGGATCAATCTATTACTTAATTTGATAATACCGGTATTTGCAAGAAAGTTTGAATCTTTTTAGATATTTTTATACAAGATGTTGAACTCAAACAAACAGTCAAAAAATAATACAAGTACTGTGGTTTCAATCTTGTTTTGTACATATTTTATCAGAGATTATGACATAATTAAACTGAGTCATGTGACCATACATCCTTCATCCCCTTAAATTGACAAACAGCACACTTTTTTGTGGGCAATAAAAGTACACTTTTTTTCAAAGGAAGTGTGTCACTGTAGCTACACAGTCTGTCAATAAATTTTTTTTCAGAGAGCCTCTGTTCTGCAGCTAGGGTATCTCCTGGCCCTAACCAGCCCACTGTAAATTTTATGAGGTTTAAGTAGTACATCTAAATAAATGTATTGGATTGCAGGTCGAGCTGGCCGTGTGACAAAAGGACGTGTCTACCGAATGATCACTAGAAACTTCTATGAAACATTTATTCCTAATTATGGAATTCCAGAGATGCAGGTATCACAAATAAAGATATTCATATCTGAACGTCATATGGAAAGTTAAATAATTGTGATTGAGTTTGATAATTGTGCCTTTGATTTAAGCGATGTCCACTGGAGAAACTTGTGCTACAAACCAAAGTGTTCAACATGGGAGAACCTAAAGCACTGTTAGCCCTGGCTCTAGAGCCTCCTAATCTGGACGATATCGAGAAAACTATCCTACTGCTCAAAGAGGTGTGTTTGGGTCAATGATTGTACAGTGAAACCTGTCTAATCCGACATGCCGTGGGAGACAATTTTTGTGTCGGAATAGACATGGTGTCAGATTTCACAGTGTTAAAAACAAAGAAAATACTAAAATGGAAAAGAAATTTAACGTCAGAATTTACAGTGTGTCGGATTATTCAGGTGTCGGATTAGACAGTTTTCACTGTACATGTAATTTGATACAAATTGACAATTTTTGATTTTTAATTATAAAGAAATGAGCAATCCACAGTATGAGATTCAATTTACTTATGTTTGAAGTAGATAAGGAGATTTGATTTAAACTTCAAAGTTAGTGTATGAGAAATAAATGTGTACACAAACAAGTAAAAACAGAGAAACATGTCCTAGTATCATTTTATGTATGCCAGAGAGTGCTCACAACCTCCTCTATATAACTGTATACAGTAATCAGATACCTATAACAGGTTGGTGCCTTGTCTACCCTGGCTACTGGGGAAAGTAATCGTCACGATGGACAGCTGACGTTTATCGGTCATGTGTTAGCGGACCTACCAGTGGACATTAAGATCGGGAAGTTACTCATCTACGGACATGTATTTGGAGTGCTGGAGGAATGTCTTATTATTGGTAATTATTGGGATATGTAATATGATTGTAAAATGTAGTATATTGGTGTCATGCATCTTTTTAATTTTGTTGATAATTGAGAGGCAATACAGAGTCAAATTAGAGTTTTAATAACAGAGAGATATCTAACTTGTATGAAAATAGTTTAGTATGGTATGACTATGAAAATAGTTTAGTGTGGTGTTTGTTTACATTTCATATAGTAGGCTTATTGTTTTTAATATCAGATACATGTACAAACTTTTTATATGAATACTTAGAATTTTTAACTTGACAGGTGCTGCAATGTCTTTGAAATCTTTGTTCTCCAAACCTTACAAAGCTCATCTAGATTCCTACAGGTAAAAAAATTCAAGTTATTAATTTCTAAGTAGATATTTGTGTAGAATTCTAGAATTCTATCCAAGTGTTCAATTTTTAATACAAGCATAATAGCAGTCCTCCTACATATAATTTTACAAAGATTTCTATGGTCACTATTACCACTGTGATAGATCATGTGAACACTACATTACAGACACAAACTAGACTGGTCAAGGGGATCCCAAAGTGACAGTCTGGCCATTCTCAATGCCTTCAAGGTATAACTTTTTTCCCTAAAAGCTCTCCTTCTCGCCAAATCTTCAGAAAATGCTCTCTAAGTATATATCTATTTATACATGTAAAGTTGATGATATAAATGGTTTGTGCTATAGGAATATGAAGCCCGTAAGAACATGGGAGAGTTCAGAAGAGGCGTGTCAGAGAGGGAGTGGTGTAAGAGACACTTCCTACAACAAAGGAGAATCAGAGAGGTAGGGGTCAGAGACATTATCATGTCAGTTTAATGCGTGTAACAGAATGTTATTGAGGGAACTTTTTGCAGAAATTCACACTTTACAAAAAATCATTAAAACTACACAAGATATGTATTATACTTTGTATCAAGTAGTGATTGAAAAAAGGCAATCTTCAAAGTATGAAATCAAAAACAGAAAACCAGACAAAAAAAAACTGTCAGCCACAAACATGATCTGTAAATCAAGTTTAGGTGGTGAAAAATAAATACCTGTTTTTCTGTATAAATAAAATTTGTACTTTTATACAGGAGTTTTTTTTAATGTAAAATGGAGAATTAAAAAGAATTACGGTAACATCTTTTCAATACTTAAATTCTAGATTTTAAAGATACCCTGTTAGTGGTTCATATGAATTCTGCATCTGAGAATGTACAATTTCAGATTGCTGAGCTTGTGAAAGAGTTGGAACAGAGACTGCAACAGTTTAACATCAGCAAGCCAGGACATCGCCCCAATTTTAAAAACCATTTCAGTGACGACCAAGAAAGACTACTACTGAAGGTGCCAGGTTTATTTCTAGAAATATTTTCTAAGAATTCAATTTTCTGACATGTTGATGAAACTATTTCATGGTATTTTAAAGTATTAAGAGTTACATGTATATGAATGCCTATGAAACATTGTCACATACATGTAGTAAATGGTTGACTTTTGTACAGTTGGTGATGTGTGGTGCTTTCTACCCTAACTACTTCTTGAAGGACCCAGTGGATGAAGAGAGCGCCCTCAGGGAAATGTCTGGACATGACCCACTTAACACTGTCATGGTAAGACTGAAACCTTTTGTACTTTTGACCTTCGAAAAATTAAGATTATAATCAAATACATGTATTTCTAGACTTGTTTCAGAATAATTTAAAAAGGATTTTGGCTCTTTAAGACAAAGGTATTTTATAGAAGTTTATCAATTTGAAAACTTTTTTTTTCACTAGGTGAAGGGTTTGCCAGCCAATCAGGGTTTGCTTTACAAGGAAGCTGTAGAGGATCAGTTCAGGAATGTGGGTTTTAACCCAGAAGCCTTCTTTGAGGAAACCAAGTATGTGGAATATGATTTCATAGAATTCAACAATTTTTGGTTTATTATGAATTATTTCAATATTTTAGGTAATTATATTTTATGCTATTTTGTGATGTTATAGGGCATACATCAGTTTCCAGTGGAAGCCTGAGTACAGGGGCCGTGTACATCCTGGGGTACATATGGCTGTCAAGTTAAGGTAAAATTTTAGTGGTATAAATCATTCAAATTGTTGTTTTAAACAAGAGGAAAAAATGATTTATGCAATAAATATTTAATAGGAGCATTACTCAAGAGAAAAATAGGTAAGGTGGTTTTTCGTTTGTGAATGAGTTGATATGAATGCATGAATACATCACTAACTGTATCATGTGTACTTCTCTGTATCTTTTGCAGACAGCTGAGACAATCCATCGCCATTGATCAGCTATCATCAGACGAAGCTCACAGGTTACTACAGGAAATCCAGAGACAACAGGGAGAGACTAGAGGAAAGTTACGATCTAACCGAGGGGACGGGGACCAGAGGACACAAGTCTCATTACCCGACACCTCTGTACAATATGTGTCCCTCCTCATAACCAATGTTAGTGTGGTTTCTGAAATCAGAATGATATGGGTCTTGCCATATATTGGTTATTGCAATCATAGAATATGACACTTGATGATATAATATGATTTGAACTTTAAGATTAAAGTGGACCATTGTGATATGTCATCAAAATGTGAAGTAAAATTAAAATGTGATTTGGGAAAGATAAATAGAAAAACATTTGCATGAGAGGAAATGATTTTCTTGTGCAGGTTGTAGAATGTGGACACTTTTGGGCCCAATACAACGAAAACCAAAACTTTGAAGAACTGAATCAAGTTCAGGGCACCCTGAATAGCAGAAATCTCTCGGTAAGTCTCATCCAAGTTCACAGCATCCTGAGCAGCAGAAATTTTCATGGTTAATTTTGTTTCAGTTGTTGCATTTTGAGTCTTTTCGGTGTTTCCACCAAAAATACAATCAATGTGACCTATTTTTGAAATTTTATACTTTAATCTCAATATTCAGAATATAAAGAGGATAAGAATGATCAGTATTTTTTCAGTTGACAAGTGGAGTTCTCAGACTTAGCCAACCAAAAAGGAGGTCACAATGACTTGCTTTCAAAATAGGGCTCTACCTAAATATTTTATTTGGTAAGCATAGAATCCTATGTTTTTGTCAGATGATGCATTTTGGGTTCACAGAGTGTGTTTATCAAAAAGTAGGTAATGATGACATAACTTTAGAATTTCAAGGTGTCTCTAAATATTTTCAATACCAAGAGACTTGAGAGCTATTTAGGCCCTTGGAACATATGTTGCCTTTAATTGTCATTTCTGTAGTTGATCTTATTTGTGGAATTTTGCGATTCAATCTGAATTTTAACATAAAATCTTAAAAGTATGTATGATATGGGTTGTTCATTTGCATTGTTAATGTCTTTATGGATTATAGATTTATAAGGAAAAAAATTACTTAAGTAGGACGAAGAACTTCAATGCTATATGATACATATGCATGTATTTCTGTTGCTGATATGTTAGTGTAGGTAACACGTGATATAAAAAGAGTTCTATCATACTTTCAATTTATGCAGTCAAACTTGCATATCTCAAACTCAAAGGAAAAAATGCCTGATGTCAGGAAGGTTTGGATATTGAGATTACAAGACATGAAATCCTCAACTGTCCATGGTATCTGAGATATTGATGTTTGAGATACTCAAGTTTACTGTATTTTATAACTGCCTGTGTAATGCCGTATAATTCCCCTCTCATGCTGTGACTTTTGATATTGTAGATGGTGAATGCCTTCAGTGTTGGTCAGTTGGTGGCTGCCCCCTACACTGAACAGGGGGATACTCAGTATTACAGGGCGAGGATCAACAGCTTTGACCGACAAAAAAGACAGGAGAGATGGATTGATGTTGTCATGGTCAGTTTAGACAAATCAGGGTTTAGTTTGTTAAATGGAATAAATAATGTCTGAAGTTCGCAAATAATTATTTATTTTAAGAGCCTTTAATTGATACCAGACAAAGCTTACAGTATAGATTAATTACAGGTGTTTTTTGTTGACTATGGAAACACGGAAACAGTTGATAAGGCAGCACTTAGAGTTTGTCCTCAGTCCATCACCCACATACCATATCAGGTGAGAAATAATATGATAAACAATACACAAGTACAAGCATGATTAAAGCACACATGCTTATAATGAATAATACACCTTTACAGGGAAATCATTTAAATTCCAAATAGTTTTTAAACACATGAATATGATATGAAGCAAACAAATTTTAATCAATATTTCTAACAAATCAAAATTATAATAAATAAGGTGCACAAACCTGTGTAAGCACATTACATTTACAAAGGTTGTAATTTTCTGCAATGTTTGCAATCTTTTTTTTTTTTCTTGCACTTATATACTTGGAAAGAATTTTGCTGTTTTAATGTATTATTATTTACCAATGTACTTCCTTAAATGATGATTTTTTTTGTTTTTTAAATTGACTTTCAATTTTGAAATCATAAAGTTGGTTACACTATTAGACTTGTAAAAAATAATTAACAATTTACACAATAATGAAAAGAAGAAACGTTATCTAGAGTGTTTTGATGGGTTAATTAACAGGCTGTGGAATGTTTTCTGTGTGAACTCCGTCCCTCGGTGAGGAAATGCCCAGATGGCTGCTGGACAAGGGAAGCCACGGATCTCTTCAGAAGATGGGTCGACCAGCAAAGTCTGTATGGACAGGTGAGCTAATTACAGGTACAATAAGTGAGAAGCTTACAATTAATCATCTTCTCAAGCCATGGTCTGGAGTTCATGATATACTGTAGATTCCTAATTATACACGAGGAATTAATTATCCTACTTATTATGCGAGAAGCACCACTCATGAAATAAAGTAATGTGCTTTAATTTATACGGTGCTGAAATACATGTACATGTAAATTCTCTCGATCAACCGTCCAATTGCAAATTATTATTCTTGTGATTTGCTGTTCAAAAGCCATTTTGTGATAAAAACTACTCACGAAAAATAAGGAATCTACAGTAGCTCTCTCCTACTGGCTGCCTGATCGCAAAAATTGTTGTAATCTTAAATATTTATGTAGCCAGTGGTAGTACATCAGAAATGAAAACATCTGGTATGGGTTCAATAATTTATTTACGTTGAAATAAACCTCAAAAAACCTGAAATATTACAATTACACACAACATATAGACGACACATAGACAGATATATTTATGTAGCCAGTGGTAGTACATCAGAAATAAAATTAAAAATTTATTTACATAACAAAAAACCTGAAATATTACAATTACACACAACATATAGACGACACATAGACAGACATTTAGACAGATAATTAAAACATAATAGACTTTACTTTAGAATAGAATCTTACCGGGACACACACAGGAATTTACAAATATTACTATCTGTTATATGATGAATGACTATAGAGTAGACATCTAACCAATTCAACGGCTAGGCTCAGAGTGCCCGATGTTAGTTCGTGCAAGCGGGAATTCAGTGAATAGGATAAAGTCATGTGACTGTCCGTCTAGTGTCTAAAAATAACAACAACCTCATTCACACAAAGTCTTTCATACCACATTCTCACATATACGCAGCGCAAGTATAAAGTTGCATTAAATAATACATAACCCTGGTTACATTTACATCTCTCTATTGTGATATCATATTCAGTCAATGACAAGTTTTATTTCCATTGCAACTGAAATCAACAATTTACATCAGCAGTATTTCGTACAGTGTGATTGGGTATTGAAAGGGTTGCATCAAAGTTCATAATCCGACTATGCTTTACTTGCATTGGTCAATATTTTAATGAGCTACGAAATATTCTCTTCTCATAAAACCACGGCCAGAATGGAAGAGGATCGTACATGTTGGCCGTATGACAATTAATGAACAAAGTGACAAAGTTTCCTGATATGGTTTTCAATTTTTACACAGACAATTAAGCTTTTACTTACAGGTGTATATTACTAACAGGTATATTTTACTTACATGTGTATTTTACTTACAGGTGTATTGTACTGAAGCTTTTACTTAAGGTGTATTATACTGAAGCTTTTACTTACAGGTGTATTCCACTGTGCGGGATACTCTAAGGGTGGACCTGATACAGTCGTGTGGTAATGGACGACAGGTGTCCTTCCGACAGGAGCTGATCAATCTTGGTTATGGAGAGAGGGGGGAGGAGAATTACCTCTCAAAGGTATGAAATTATATCTCGACTGTATTTCAATTTTTCACTCTATGGATATAATTTTGACTATTCCTCATTTGTATCAAACTTGTCTATAATTATAATGGTCATTTGCATGGTCAGTCATTCTATTCAAAATATGCCTTGTAGAACAAAAAATTTACAAAATCTTCTTCAGAACAGCAAGACCATGGCTTTTACAATGATGCAGGCATCCCCTTGTAAAGTGGATTCAAGTTCAATAAAGTTGTTTCTTTACATAAGTTTCAGATGTTTTTTTCTTTGATTTCAGAAAGATCATGAGCAGAGACAGGCTCCCCAGGCAGTGAGGACCCAGGAACAGAGAACCCAACCCACGGAGGACTGGTTAGGGACCGCCATCAGGACCTCCGCCCCCTTGTCTGCCGCCCCCCTCACACGCACCAGGGGTCAAAGGGTCAGTGAATCTCAACAACTTTCATTTTCTCCATAAATATGCTAAGCTACTTCAAAATGTATTAGATGCATGACAATTCATGTTTTATTTCAGATACACCTTAAAGGGCCTCATAATCCATATGAAATGCAGTTTTACAGTTTAACAAATGTTGGGAGACTAAGGTACTTAAACTTTTCTGTGAAAATAATTTTCGGATTTCAAAGTAAGATTTGATGTTAAACATTTCAATAAAACTTTATAGGGCAGCAAAAGTGGACCCGGACAGTGTTAATTCTGTTGCTATTGACGATGAGCCTGAATCTCCACACGCCAGGATGATGATAGCAGGATATGTAGGGCTTAATGCGGCAGGGTCCACCATGATTGCTAGAGATACAACAATCATGCCACTCATCCCAGGCTTACCAGCCCTAGTGTCTCTGCTTTTTGCACCAATTGCAGAATTTCGGTAAGACAGGAATGGATAAATAACAAGAAAAGTCATTTTTGCTTTTTTCATGCAAAACACTAATGTTAGTACTTCAAATGGTTAACAGGTGTTGAATAGTAAATATTCAACTGCTTCTAGTCGAAGTAATTGCATGGTTAATTTTACTGAAATGTTTTCATATTCATATAGCATTTCATGTTCATGTAGCATAAGAAAATTATTGGTTCATCTTTATTCAATAATGTAATGTTGTCATCACGAAGTGTATGTGTACTTTGTTGAGATTTATATTGTCAGGGTTGACCAGAGGAAAGAGAATTATATTGGTACAATCTGTGGTTTGGGACTGGACAGATTTACAGGACAGCCCGCCATGCCTGACCACGATATGGAGGTGGCCTTTGACATACCTATAACTTTAGAAGATATCTTCAAGGTAAGTCTTTCCCAAACAGTCTAAATGTATTTTCATGGGAAGATCAGGATTCAGTCTATTGAAATATTTTTGATTGTGCAACTCCTCTAAGTTTATAATGCTGGATCAATTAATTTTCTCTGTTTTATAGATAAATGGTGTAAGAATGGCCATCAATATTGTGTTAGGAAGTGAACAAGCAGTGTCCAACTGGGGCGAAGATGCTATTTACAAACTTCAAGACTCGGCTCGCAGGAAACTCATGAGGTAAGTCAACTTGTGATTTAATGTTGTTATTGTGAAAGAAACACAGAACTTGAACGAGTCATTTATGTCAGATGAATAGATTGCCATTTAATGTTTGTTTTTTCTGCCAGTGTTATACAAGGAACAGCTAGAGAACATTATGATGCACCAGCAACAGAAACTCCTTACAGATGGGATCAGGTATATATCATGGATAATTAAGAGCTTACAATATACTTGCACTTCAGTACAAAATACAGTATTTATAAGGGTTGTAAAAATGTTTACAGACAAACACTATTGTAAGCACTTATATTAAATCTAAGAAATCTTTGAAGATAAAAAAAGTGACTTGTCTTAGTGTTGTAGTACACTGGGTATTACATTGAACATTTTAAAAATTGAAATAGACACAAAATGTCACACACAAATTTTTAAACAGTCGTAGTTTTGAACAAGAAGTGATTGTTCTTGTATTTGTGGAATGGTAAGAGAAGAGATTAAAGATGATTACTTGGTTTAAATTGCAGATAGACCCAGCTGATATTTTAGAACATGATCTACACAATACACCAGCTGACAGTGTGGTTTTGTTACACCTACATAAAGGTGTGTATCTGAGGACAGATAGAGAAGAAGAGGAGGAGGAGGATCAAATAGGGGTGGAGGAGGAGATCTTAGAAAAGCGACGTCATGCTGAGTGGCTACGTCAGGCGGCAGAGAGGTAAGGATGCTACTGTATAAAAGTTCAAACATAATTCAAGAAATTCAAATTAAGCCGGGAAGCAAGTTATGATTATTTGAATGAATCAGGTATTGGAGTTGTATTTCACAAGAAATATAAAAAAGTCCTGCATACTGCTTTAAATCACTATCATAAAGATGGTTATTAATGAAGCTACCTTGGCTGACTTGTATAATGATAGTGCCATGATCATCACACTTCTGACACAAAAATTAAGAGGATAATAAACCAAAGGAAGCTGATGAATACAAATGATATATAAGTTCCTGTCATTATACATGAATTAGTATTTCATTTGCTTGTAATAAATATTGACAAATGTTGTGATCTACTTCTCTTGCAGTGCCACGTCTCGGGAGCCGATACTTTGTAGGTTGTGTAACATGACGTGGCAGACGCCACAGTTGTTACAGCTCCACCTGGAGACAAGGCGGCACAAGGAGAAGGAGGATGAACTGTATGACTGAAGTCAGGGAAGGGAACCAGGCTACTCCAACGTCACAGTTAACTGTATCCTCATTATACAGGTGTCTGTACAGGTCAGAGATGCAGTAGAGAAGGGAATCCAAGAATCAGAAGAGATAAATAGTGGAACACTTTCAGGGAAGAATGTCAAGGAATGGGAGTTTTTTTTGACAATTTTTATTTTTTATTTACAAAGTGAAAATTGTAAAACAAAAAAAATTGTTTGAATATGTTTGATGTTTTAAGAAGTGAAATGTGCAAAAAGAAACAGTTGCAATAAGTTCTTTTCTATACATGTATTAAAAGCTTTAAGACTTACTTGTAGAAAGAAACTGTTTACATTCACATTTATGTGCAATGAATAATCATGAACTTTTTTGTAGATACATGTTCATATTTTGTTCTGATATTTTTTTATTCATGTACTGAGTTTCATAGAATTTTATTTGAAGTATATTTGTACTTGTTAGATTTGTTCATTTTATTTTTGTTGTGGACTCTCTGGCAAGAGTAGTACATGTTACTTTTATAGTTTACTATAAAGTTCAGATAAAGTCTTTGATGATTTTGTTTTCTTTAAAATGTGAGGTTCAGAATCATGTGAAGCAGAGTGTCTGAAGTCACAATCAAGCTACATCTGTACAGAGGGCAAAATGTCATCCTTGCAGATGCTAGTCTGCATTACACTTAGTATTACAATATTAAAGAAACGTTCAGTTATAATTTGTAGCTCACCTGAGCCGAAGGCTCAAGTGAGCTTTTCTGATCAAAATTTATCTGTTGTCTGTCGTTGTTATGCCCCCCTTCGAAGAAGGGAGGGCATATTTGGACAAATTTAAATCTATACTTTTTTATGCTTTTATATTGAAGGCTTTGTTGTTTTTAGGAAAATATTAATAATCATTCCTATGTATTCCTACATAAAACCAATGTGGCCCCACTCTATCCCAAGGGTCATGGTTTGAACAAACTTGAATCTACACTGTCTGAGGATACTTCCATATAAATATGAACAATCACAGCTTTCATATAACTATGACTTTGCTGTTCTTCAGAAGAAGAAGATTTTTAAAGATTTTTCTGTATTGCTATGTTAAACTTTGAATTCCAATAATATTGTGGCCCCACCAAACTCCCTAGGGTCATGATTTGAACAATTTGAATCTTCTCTACCAGAGGATGCTTCTACTTGAGTTTCAATTTTCCTGGCCCAGATGTACTTGAGATGAAGATTTTTAAATATTTTTCCTGTGTGTTCCTATGTTAAACTTTTATCCCCACTGTGCCCCAACCTACCCCTGGCGTTCATGATTTGAACAAGCTTCAATCTACACTACCTGAGGATGCTTCCACATGAGTTTCATTCTTCCTGGCCCAGTGATTCTTGAGTAGAAGGTGCCATTAATTTTTCAATAATTTATAATTATCTCACCTTGAGTGGCCCTTCATTTGTACGAACTTGAATCCCCTTCACCAAGGATACTTTGTGGGAAGTTTTTAGTTGAAATTTGCCAAGTGGTTCTTGAGAAGAAGATGAAAATGTGAAAAGTTTACGACGACGACATACAACGGACAAATTTTGATCAGAAAAGCTCACTTGAGCCTTCACCTCAGGTGAGCCAACAAGCGATTGCACGTTTAAATTGCTTGAAATATGAAATAAGATGAGGGTGGGACATGTGCGATCGAGCCGATGATTAATGGGCGCACCTTTATTCATGGCGCTCAAAATTGAAATAAACTCCAAAACTTAAAAAACTTTTATTTTTTGAAGATATCTTTAATTCATTATACCTAAAGACTTCGAGAATAATTTCTTTTTAAAATAGGGGGTAAATCAAATAAAACCGAGAAAACAAATGAAAAGAATAAAACAAAAAAGCGGGATGCATGCAAATATTTTATAATTTTATTGATCGAATTTATCTCAAAATCTATTTCATGGTTCATTTGAAAATCAATAAATATGTACATTGGAAGCAAATTATAGAAAAGTAGGCCATTGGCGTCGGAAGCAGATTGAAAGGGGGGGGGGGGGGTTAAGGGGGCTAAGTAAAAGAGAAAAAAAATCAAACATACATCAAAACTAAAAAAAAAATGTCCTATTTCGTGTGTGGGGGGGGGGTCAATTGCATTTCCTCTGAAATTGAAAATGAGTGCGTTTCTGAGGAGGGGGTACTGAGTATAATTCGGAGTAAGATACCGGTACATTGTGTTATTATTATACTATGGGTTAAAAGAAGATGGGGGGATAAGGCAGACAGGATGCCTATAGCGTCAAATATTAAGAAATCACATTTGATATGTAAATTGAGTATTTAAATTTACTTCTCATTATTGAAATTTATGAAATTATAAGAAAAAAAAAGATTTTCTGCGAGAAAATAAATCTCTTGAAAAAAATTCTTTTATAAAAATATTAGATGGTATACGTGGGATTCGAACCCCAGAAATAAAATACCGAAGTATTATACTGCTTTGAAACTAACGCGCTAACCACTATGCTACACTGCTCATGATGATTGTGAGGCATTTAAATCGTGTTTGTGATATGACCCTTGACTTAATTAATGGACTTCAATTATTTCTCGGAAAGATGCGAATGTTTTGTCATAAAAGTGAACTTTCAAGAACCCCTTTTTTTGAAAACAAAAAAATGGAGTCTTTCAAAAAAATGGAGCGAACACCCACTCATATTGAAAATTTTTGTTAAAGTATGAAAAATCAGCGTTTCTGTACTTTTAAGTCTGTGTATGCTTTTTCATAGGCAAATATTTTCAGTCTTTGTGAGATTTTTGTAAATTATAGAGATTTTACGTTAAGTATACTTTAATACTACATGAAATATGAAATAAAATTTGGATATGATTGAGATTAAATTTTTCACTTCTTATCTGTCGCGCTATAGGCATTCTGCCCGCCTTATCCTCCCATCTGCTTTATTCCCCAAAACAAGTGCCTGTGCGCAAGAGTATAATTCATCAACAGAAAGCTAAAATAAAAATGTTTCGTATTAATAAAATTTTCACTTTACAAGTGCGCCCATTTTCCTTCCAAAACTGTTCAAAGTCTGTTGGGGTGGTATACATCTTAAAGTTTTCAGAATGTAGTTTAGTGATTCGTGTAAGAAATATCAATGCCATTGACAGGTGAACACAAAAGAAAGCATTAAAACTATAGCTACTTGTACAGTTCAGCAGATATTTATATAGGGAACTTTTCCTCCTCAAAATATAACATGCAAAAGGAAGAATATTTTTTGCATAGATTGGAATTTAAATAAAAATTACAACAGGAATTTTGTTACCCCCCCCCCAAAAAAAAAATTTGACAAACCAGAAGCTTGTGAGAAAGGGATGGGGACGACAATAACGCTGTTGGCGCTTGGATAATACAATACAGTATGAAATAAAAAAAAAGTATAAGATACTTTGTATACAAAAAGAGGATTTATAATTAACGTATTTTACACAAGATCTAAATTCATCATTTTGATCTTCAATTTTGTGGGATTTGATAAAGACTTTTGAAGATGTTTGCTCTCCTGATTCTTTGAATGGTGATTGTCGGAGAACAATATCTCTCGCTCCCACGGTGGCTTTCTGTACACATTGTCCTTTTTCTTTTCGGTGTTGATGGGTAACAGACGAGGCAGATGGCGTTTCGGGGTATCGAATGTGAGGGTGTACTCCGTCCCCCCAGATCGATCTTTGGCTACACCAATTTGTGGACTTCTTCCTCGTCCAATAAGTCCTTCGCGGTTTAAGTCATCAATTATTTTTGCCTGTTCAGTTATATTTTCAATGTTTTTCCTTTCAAGATTAATTGGCCATACGTGATCACTCCGACGTTTCATGCACAAAATGTCGGCATTTCTAAGGTTGCTAAATCCATAGGGCTTATCTTCGTCTGTTGATATTGTTTGCTTTGGAATGCTTGAAGTTCCAGAATTGATCGGTGGAAGAACACCGCTGATTTTTGTTTCAGTTGCCATTTTCTGGAGAAATTTGTCTGAAGGTACAGGAGATGATGTTCGATTGGAAACCTCGTTGTCATTAAGAACTGATTGGCTGCTATCCTCTCGAGCAGCGTTCGGTTGAATGGATGGAACTGTCACAGGCCTATCGTTGTTCAGTTCTACCTTGTCAAAACCAACGGACGAGTTAGAATCATTTTCACTGACGTTGTCCAAATGAAGACTGCAAGAGCCAACTGAATTCACACTGTTGCCAGAAGCAGAGCTGTATTTTCCATGATCTTTGTCTTTGTGTTTTGAAGTCCCTTCCCGGCTCACGGCAGATCCCATGTTTCCAAACTTGATCCGAAACTTGTATCCAAAAGTGAAATGGCGCAACGATTATGACGTCAGCATTTGGTTCCGTCACGGGATCTTTCCCGTAACGTTGCACAATGTTTTGATGGTGTTTCTTATACAATATTGTATCAAATGTTTACACGTATTTTTAAAACTTGAGTGAGAATGGTTGAAAGAGTTTTACTCTTTTCCTTTCTCTTGAAAATGTTCATTTCAAATGTAATCCTTGTCATTTTGTTATTTATTTGTAATGTGATTTCGCACATTCACTATTATCGCCAAACCCCCGAACTCGATCACTACCCTAACTCCGTCACTTTGTTGAAACTCCGCGCAGTTACGATCATGACGTTTTTTTTTTTTGTTTTTTGTTTTTTATTTATTTATTTTTTTTTTTTTTGCAGGTTGAAAAATCTACAATCAAATTCAAAGCTACTATTTGAAACAGTCAAGTTAAAAAATGCGTCAAAACAAATAAAATTTACACTTATTTAACGTATGGTCTCATAATTTATGTGAAATCAGTAAGCACCTTTTCCCTTATGCGCTATTCCATCGATGTCTCCGACAGGTGCGTCAGCATGCTCATTTTTACCTGTCAGATATTTTCTATGAAGGTCTATTTTAAAGGTTTAACATGACATACCATGTTCAATACGGTTAAAAATATTTTATTTTATTGAATACAATATTGCCCGAATGCACTACGCATTGAGATAACGTAACGCGACAATTTTACATGTATAAAAAATACGTTATATTAACGTTATTTGTGTATATTGCTGATGCCTTTTTAAAAAAACAATTTAATAATATTTGAAACCTTAAAAAAAAAGCCCAGTAACTGCACCTTTTTGTTACTAGTGATATCACTAAAAACAATGTTCAAGTTTTTTTTTTTACTATATATTTCCATTTCTAATCTTTTTCTCCGTGATACACTGTAACTCTTTGAAAGTTAGGGGAGTTGATTTCTTGATAATTCTACCGGAATGTAAATTAGGCAGGTCGATAGTTCAGGAGCTTAGGGGGCCTAATATGCATGCAAATCTCGTGCGCATCTGTCTCTGTGTCTGACGCTAAGGAGGTCAAATATGCATACATGTAAATCTCGTGCGGCTGCCTTTGTGTTTGACGTCAGTGGACGAGGACTATTGAAATTGGCATGGGAGTCCTCGTGTAATTTAAATCTATGTCTGCATTTTTAAGTCTAAATCTACAATTTTATTTCACAATGAAATGGAAATATGAGGAATCACTGTCTAGTTAGTATAGTATGCCATGGACATCAACGATAGTGGGAAACATGGGATAAAATTTAGTGTAGCAAACAAGAAACAAATTAAATAGTTATAATTTATAGAGAAACGCGTGGTATTTTCCGCTTATGGTAACAAAGTTATGTACTCGGAAATAATACAAGGGTAAAGTATTTCCATCCGATCCAGCAGATCTTTCTTTTCATTCTCCTATCTGGGATACTTCATGGAAATCGTTTTGAGGGACTTACTGGGGGGGGGGGGAGGGGGGGGTAGCAGGTTTTGCAGCATACGTAATAGTTCAACTCAAATAAAGGCTCATTTGATGTTTTATGTCTGTTGTCCTATAATTTTCACATTTTTGTCTTTTTTTCCAGAATTTCAAACTTGCCAGAGAGCATCCTTGGGTAAAGTGGATTTAAATTGGACTATCTCTTTCAAGGGGAGATAATTCAGATATAGTAACATTTTAGAGGGAACATAAAAATGTGGAAGTTTTTAGACTGAGTGTAGATTTGATTTTGTTCAAATCATCTTCAAGGATAGGGCTGGAGATCAATGTGTTAAATTCAAGAACAGGAGTGATATATAGTGGATCAATAATTAAATAGAAAAGAGAGCTGTGATCAAAGCTGTTTGTATAGTTAAGTTCCCTGTTAACTTAATTCTTTATCATTTTAATATATCCTTCAGTTCTTTATCATTATAACATATCCATGTTTTTCTCAAATGGCTGAAGCACACAAAAAGTATAACTGTTCTGTTCAAATTGGAAAGAAGCCATAGTAAGGTAAGCATATCTTTAAAAAAAAAAAAAAAAATTAAAAAACTGAAGTTATGTTCTTTTGTGTACTCTAAAAATATGCCCTTCATTATTGAAATCAGACCCATATTATAGGAAATAAAGCACATTTAATTTTGTATTTAACAGATAAACAGCAGAAACAAAGACAATGAATACCTTATCATTGTTAAGGCTCACCTGATCTAGACAAGTAGAGGTGAAAAGGTTCCTCCTTGGAATGGTGAAAAACAACAACAAAGGAGGCTCTAATCTGTTTATTTATTACCGGTACAACCAATAAGTTGAACATAAGATAAATGTAAAGTTAAATTATTGCACATACATGTAGGTTTGTTAAGTCTACCAGCACTGTATAGCCCATAACCAGACTGCTGGTGGGAGGAGTGTTTCTTCCTGGTCCTCTCTGCTGTCCTCATTAGCTCCTCGCTCCCATTTTTTCCTGCTCCTCGGTCTCCTCTGATATACAGCACCAGTCTGGAAGTTTTCCCGTCTGTAGGTAGGCGTCCCTGCTTATTGACTTACTAGGGAGGGTCTCAAGTGCTCCTAGCAGGGCCCCTAAAAAGCCCAAAAATTTTTGGAGATGATATAATATTTCTACTGAATCCATTTAATTTTAAAGGATGACTGCACTTAAAGGGTTTTTATCACGCATCGAAATTTCTTAAAAATTAAACACTATTATATTCTTGGAACATATAATTATCGTTTAATTATAAAATAATGTTTTAAACTGTTGTATTTAAGCCATAATATGTCCGTAATGTAGGGTCTTCAGATTGAAAATCTCCACTAATTAGATAGGGGTCACGTGGTACTGAAACGTCATAGGTGTCAATGGGCAATTAGACCTCGTAAAGCGTATCATAAGAAAACATCTACCGGATGCGAAATTTGCGTCAAAATAAACTTTTAAGACAGACATTTTTCTTACAATTGCAGGAATGATCAACATCTAATCTACAACTTTACTTAATTACAATAAATAAAAATATGTATTCACGATGTAGAATCTTTTTTCTAAGGCTAGGGTCATAAAAATTTCTTCAATCTCTGTACGATAATGAGGACACCCACTTTTTTACTGACTTAATACATAGTCAGCGCATGTTTGTCTATTGTTCTGCTTTTAACAGTAGTTGTATATTTGTATTAGTAATGTTGTGTGAAAAGGAGATTAATAGACAAAAATGCGCTCATTGTTTAAAAGAGAAAAAACTGCTTCTTCTTACACTGGCTCTCTCTCTTGTAACCAAGGACTGTGACACGTTGAATATTATAATTCACCACGTGATATATTTCCTCAGGTAATTTTGTGAATACTAAATTCCGTCACGTGACTTATTGATAGTAAATTTTGTGATAACTAGGACACTCTGCTCGAACACGTTAAACAGTCAACCATCAATTTAAAATATTCTTTACTTACATGGATGCATGGGCTCTTACGTTTTAATCGTATATAATGCACTTGTGCCATTTTGAATAAATAGGAAGATGGAAAATAGAGATCTCACATTTTTTGGTACATGTCATTGTTATTCATCCAGTCTAATTTTAGATCCATTCTTACGGTGTTAGCTCCACCTCTCATACATATATAATGTTCAATCAAGGGCAGGTAAGTGTAAATTCTCCATATTTGTAAAACCGTACAGACAAAAAATCATGAAATAAGTTATTGTATTACTGTCTAATATTATTTTTTACATCAAAATTGGGTGTCTAATTGACAGACCTCTGTAGTAAATATATAAAAGTGAACTTAAAATAAGATTTAAAAACAACATAGTCGACCGAAAAAGACCCAAAACACAGCGTTAAGTGCAGTCATCCTTTCCCTTATATTAAAAACTGTGTAAACCGAGAGATAAGTCTAAATGTTAAATACATCAAGAAATCATTAACATCCACCCTTTCCCATTTCATAACTTGCAATATTCCGTAAATTGGATTGTCTTAAAATATGCAAGGAAACATTTGACTTGATATACAGATGTTTACAGAGGCAGATTCAGGATTTTTTCTGAGCGGAAGGGTCCATATGTCAGACTTAATTTTTTTTTGGACAAGCACAACCCTCCTTAACTTGCATGAACCTGGAAATTTAAAACTTTTCAGTGCTATGTATGAAAAGGGGGGGGGGGGGGTGAGGAAAGGTGCCCATTTTTCCTAGAGAGGGAGGTCATGGTCGTTTGTTGTGTGTTATTTTTACATAGAAATTTAGTAACTTTAAATGTTCCAGGGGGAATCAGACCCCTCACCATCTCTCTAGATTTGTCCCTATTTTATAATCTAATGTTTAGTGATGGCTTGTGTTTATCAGGGAATGTAGCTTCTTCTTATTGACCGCTGGGAGAAAGAGGAAGTTGAAACTAGCTTTTAAATGCAGGTCTGGTTGAAAAATGTAAGAAGTAAACTTCTCATGCGTTCTCATCTCACAAGCGGGTAGAATGGGAAATATGAATAACCTACAACCTCAACAATCTCAACCCTTACCATATTTCTGGCGATTAAATTTTCTTGGATTATGAGATTTACAAACTTCAGAGTATTACCTCCTAACCAGCAGGCACAGTTCTCTTTTGTTGGAAGTTTATGGAACTTGAATAACTTGATGGATAGCTCATTCTGGTATTTGTTGTTTTTCAGGAGGTGGTACAGTTCTACACACAGTCGATGGTGGAAGCCTGGTAACATTGATGTCCCTCCGATGATTACAATGTTCTCAGCCAGATCCCTCCTCATATCAATGGGAGACTGCCAGAATATACAAATCAGTCATACATGCAATTATCAACTTAGGTAAACATTATCAATTTTCCAGGATTCTGTTGTGCAAGTTCTCTTTATCAAGCTGATAGTTCTTTTCATATTGAGATATAATTTTATACATATATATACATGTAAATTAGAAAATAAAATGACTCATATAGAAATTCTATTTGCATTTCCAGCCTGAGTAACAGAACTAAAGAAATACTTGACAACTGTGAATAAATGCCTCATTTTAAGTTTATTCTTGTACATATTGGATAATTTCTTACATTGATAATAGCATCCAGTATGATGGTAGATAGGGACTGGTGTTCATTATCCTGCTCAAATAATACTTCACAGCTGTGCTCTCTGAAATAAAACAGGTGTCCATCATTTACTGCCTCTACAGCCCAACTGTCTAACAGTAACCACTTCAAATTTCTTACCGAAAAATCAAATGAAATAAATTCCTTAACAAGTCCCTGGATTTATATATTCAGGTACATTGGTGGACATACAGTATTTCATATTTTTTGTTAATCTTAAACATAATTTCTAGGATGAATGTTAATTTTTTTTTACATTCACCTTGAAAATGTAAAACTTTTCTTTAACTGTTAAAATAAAGAATTAGTTCATACATGTATACTAACAAAATTATCACTACAGTGGCTGTTTTAAAATTTTTGGAAATATGAATATCAAGAGAATTTTAGAACTGACTTTTTCTGTATCTATAATACTAATTACCTGATGGTGCCATTCACCAACAGTAGATGATCGCCATCTACAGGATATTTCACACCAGGGGGCGGTGAAGGGAGCTAATCCAGCAAAATAAATCATTACAACAAACTTAAATGTATGAAAAAAAAAACAACAAAATTCTATCAGTACTTGCACAAATTGCATTAAATAAGTAAAACAAATTTGTGGTATATTATACCTTGGATTTGTCTTCTCCATACTGTGTGACTTTGTGTATTTGGCTGGCCCGTTGTAAATTGGTAACGAAACAGCATCTCACTGAAAATAATGTGACTACATTGTACAAATTCTATGTGATAAACACGCAACACAGCAGGAATTTAAGTTTTGTTATAACAAGGCTAGATACATTACTTTTTACTCTCAGAAAAATTTTAATTTGTTTCTCAAACTTGCTTTTCTTCTACATGTGCATGTCGTATGAATGTTTGAAATCGAACAAAAATCTTTCAAAAAAATGTTCTACCTTTTTTTTATAAAATATTTTTTCTAGAGACATTTGATATCAATGTACAAGTTGATTGGTAATATTGCTTAAATAAAAGACCCTCCCCCCAAAAAGGACCAAGATACTAGTAGTTTTTATTTTTTAAATTCAGTTCAATGGTTAGTATTCAGTTACAGCAATATTTAAATTTTGACCTATATCTTTATCATACCTTTGATGTCTTCCAGTATATCTTCATTTAAGCAATCTGAAATTCAATCATTCCAGTAAAGTAAATGTTGTTTAAAGAAAAAAGTTGCTATAACAACATAGATTGGAAAATAGTAAGATCTAGATAAACAGAAGTAACAAAGATTATCGGCAATTACTTTCTTAAAGGCTGGTAAATAATACCTCAATATCTTTTTAAACTAAAATAATACAAAAGGACCATGGGCTACAATGCCTATCTGGGCTCACCCTGTCCCCAAAAGTCAGGATTTTAACAAAACTGAATCTACACTACCTGAAAATGCTTCCATATCAATATGACTACATGTAATCATTGCTTTGCTGTTCTTGTGAAGATGATTTTTAAAGAATTTTTCAGATACATTCTTGTAAAAGACCCCCATCCCCCCCCCCCATCCTCCTCAGGGGACAATGGTTTGAACAAACTAGATTCTACAGTACCTGAGGATGCCTCCATAACTCCATATCATTATAACCAATCATGGCTTTGCTGTTCTTAAGAAAATTTTTCCCCCAGATTTTTCTCCCAATACATTCACATGTAGACCTTGATCAGATCCTCCATTGTGGACCCAAACTACCAGTGGGAAAAATGGGGGACAAGATTTGAACAAACTTGAATCAATACTATGTAATGAAGGTTTCACATAAGTTTCAACCTTTTTGGCCTCGTGGTTCTTGTGAAGAAGACTTTTATAAGATGCTATCAAATTTTCACTATTTCTTAATCATCTCCCCTTTAAAAAAGGGCATGGTCCTTCATTTGAACAAACTTTAATTCCTTCAACGAAGGATCCTTTTTAGCAAGTTTGGTTGAAGTCAAAAATGTTAAAGGTTAACAAACAGTTAAACAGCTAGACAGATGACAGACAAAATGTGATCAGAAAAGCATACTTCAGTACTTTTGAGCTAATATAACTATAAATTTGATAAGACAGTTTACTTGGAAAACTGTGTATGGTTAATCGACAGGATATCTGAGAAAGTGGACAGTTTAAATGGTAAAACAGGCAATGAACAGTGACAACAGTATGTACCTGGTAAACTGCACTGTATCTCGTAAAGCAAACTGTCAGTGAATAGGAGAGTATACCTGGTAATGTTGATAGAGGTTTCTCTTCACTTCCTGTGGTCACTGTTCCTGATTCTCGCAGCTGAGTCTCTATTCTCCTGTACAAAGAGAACAAATAAATGTACGTAAAAGTACTGATGAAGGATAACAAAAATAATTACTTACTTTAATAAGAAGGAAAAAAAATTTCAACACAAATATTGATATACAGAAAAACAAATTAGTATTCCTATCATAAAGAGGAAAGAGATTAACTATATAAAGCTGAATAATGGGGATGTGCTTCTTTCTTTTGTATGTCTGGGTACGGAAGTCTAGATCTGGTGATAAATAAATGTAAATGATAAAAACGGGCATTATTTGTAAACATATGTACGACAAACTGTACTGTTTTATAGCTTTCCGAGATTTGATGCAAACATACTTGTGAATGGATTTTCCTCCTAATGGTATATTCTGTAGGGCTTTAATTACTGGTATTCCTTCATACACCTGTATAACAAAAATATCCTTGAACAATCTAAAACAATATCAAATGTATGTGAATGTTAAGCACGTAAGTTTGGCTTGTACTGACTGGTAGAACAATTGTCTCATTGTAACCGACATCGACCACCAGTCCTGTGTTGGTTCCCAGCCCCAACAAACAGTTCACTTGTCCAACAGCAAACAGTACTGAAGAAACCTGAAATTGAGCAACATAACAATCACAGTAAATACCAACTCTGCTATATTTTATTCTGGGGGTGAATTCTAAGAAATTTATGACTCATATTTTTAAAAAGCATATTTTCTTTAACACTGGGTGGAATCTTATAAAATCGTGAAGTATAACAATAATTTAGCTAAAGCATAAAATCAAATTTTGTATATGCATTTTCATAGCTTTACTTTTTATTAATTTTTGATCCTTACCTCAAAGTGCTTGAAAAGAACTTTGGCAAGAGTTTCTCGGAATGCTGAAGGGCACAATATAGATTCACAAATCACAACTCGTCTGTCTTTAGCATTAACAAGCAAATGTCTGTCAAATACAAACATACATCTCAGAGATTTCACATTATTAATTAAAATAAATAAATGATTGTTACAGTAATTAACAATCAATGCTGGAAACATGGACTGAAAATAAATTTGAATGAATATCTCACCTAAAATACAAATTAAATAAGAAGTCCTTTAAATTTTCATAAAGTTGATCTGTAGTATCAAATTCCCATAACTTTTCGATCTGCAAGCAAAGAACATGAGCATATAGAAATGTAATACTAGAAAATGTAGAAAAATTTCTCCTTTCTCCTTAAAAACAGTGTTTCTTTTAAATGTTATCTGTTTAACCAGTATTTACTTTTGGCTTCTAAAAATTGTGAATTACAATTATCTTAACCATAACAACTATCAAGTCAACTGATTTAATACCTGACAAACTTTTTACTATCTCAGATCAAAAGCACAACACAGAAGTCAACTTATGATCAACACTCAGATTATAACAATCCTAAGTTACAAATCACCACCATTATACTATACCTTTCCTGTTTTACTTTTTACATGGCTTGGTACAATGCACCGAGGACCGGTTTCACCAGCTAATCCACATCTTTAAAACGTAAATATTTCATGTAATAAATGTTTGATACATAAAATGTGCAAAGTAATGTACATGTACTACACATGTATAATAAATAATGGACACTAGCATGGTGCACCACCATGCCTTCATTGTTTTTTCTCTGCACCATGTTTTTTTTTCCTCACCAAAATGTTGCTACAGTAATTCACATCGAAATAATTAAAAAAAAAATTTCTCTGGAAATTTTTGAAACTATGAATTTCTATCACAAAACTGGTTAAAAAACCATCCAAAGCATTCAAAGGGACAAGTCTCTAACATATCTAGGACCTTGGGCTATACTTGTCAAAAATATAGGATATTATTTAATATAAAGCAAGGCTTAATTTTTTCAATATTTTGATGGAAAATGTCAGAACTGATGCCATTAAGAAAACTGGAAATTTGCCATCTCCACTTGGGCAGCATTCTCCGGTTGATTTTCGATACTTGCAAACCGAATTAAATGATGAATTCACAACTTATCAACAGAACAATGCCTTTAGTACTCAGGGACACCAACATTATGTTTATGGTTGGTTTACAAAATATATAGTCCAGTGAAAACATATTAGCACATTGTTGAGTTTTGTTTTCATTTCGTACATTTTAAAATCTTGCAAAACCTGTATAGAAATATTGTTGCTAGTTTGTTCGCCCTAAAAATTGTTCGCCCATGACACTGCTCGCCCCAATTCCTGTTCGCCCAGAGTTCGCTCAACCCTAAAACTTGTTTGCAAAGGGTCTGTTCGCCCTATTTAATATGGAATAAGAATTTTCATCTTCCATCTCCTTATATTAAAATAATTTTTTTTAAATCAAAGGGAGAGATTCTTCAAAGGTAAATCTTTCTTTATTCGCTGTTCAGTTCCGACAATGGACCCATTTATGTCTCAGTCCTTCAATTGTTTTCAAAACATAGCATATTTCGTAAAAATAACACGATTTTCTCCCCCTATTAACATCGATATTAATCATCTAATAAACTATAATGCAAACACTAAGGCCTTCAAAGACATTTATATAGAATCAATTAATTAAAAATTATCTAAGACTAAATAAACATCACTCTTCGTATCAGAATTTGAAAAAAAAATTCCCAAGTTCGTAAAGAAATTAACTAGAATAAATACAGATATAGGGCGAAGAAAATATTCGGCGGACAATATTTTGGGCAAACGGACTCTGCACGAACGGACTCCTGCGAACAGGTAGATCGGGCGAACGAACCCGATAGCTAGAAATATCAGGGACCTATATACTAAGTATATAGGTCTCTGGAAATATGATGTTATATTTTTTCATTGATATTCATGTTGGTGAATAATGAGCTGCGGCTGGACAGGGTAAATATTCAAGTTTTCGAAATGGCACCAATTCTGACGTTTTTCTGGAGCACAAAATATCAAAATCGTGAAAAAAGCCTGGAAAACTACGGCGATATCAAGGGTGAGGTCATATCGATCTGCTGATCATCCTGAATAGGAAAAATTGCACTAAAAATTATTCATTAAATACCGTGTATAGGCAGCTCCTATTTCAAAAACGATAACATTTTTATCACTGCTATAACTCAATCCTTCTAAAAGAGGCATTATTCTAAAATATTTTCATCAAAATTATTATTAAATTTCACACTGGAAATGAGCAAATGTATCTAAATGTTAAAATGATAAGTGCAATTGCGGTAATTCCGGAAAAAAATATTCAATTATTTCTTGTATTTTATCTCAGCATATTTAGAATTCCCCTCGTTTTTAATCTTTTGTCTGATGATTTTTTTTTAATGTGCCAGACACACAGACTTTTCTAAAAAAGAAAAACCATACTATAAAATATTGTTTTTTTTTTTTATTAAAAAAATGAAATGTCAAGTGCCAGCAATGCTATCATTATTGCCCTTTCCATCCACAGGCAGTTGTTCCTCCAACTCAAGGACCGAAGATAAAATCATTAGGTCGGTAGGTAGGTGGGAAAATCTTTTCCCAGAAAATTTCAACATATTTATAGAGGAATAATAAGAGGAGTAAAACGGAAAAATTTTTTTTTTAATTGTGTCCTGAAATGTATAAAAATAAGTTTTGAGTTTGGCCATTTTTAGTCTGACAGTCGGTCAGTAGAGGGCAACCAACTATTTTTAAAAAACTGTTCAACATGTGTATTGTTAGCAGATCTGACAAAGAGCTGACGCCCAACCAAAGCCCCCATATGCATAAAATAAAGTAGAAAAATAGTTTTTGTTTATTTTTTAAATTCCATGAATAGAATGAACCCCAAGTTCTTAAATATTTTTCATTTTACAAAATGAATAGATTTGAAAGAAAGCATTTAATTAACTGCTAAACATTTTCCACTTGGAAAGACATTCAGGGCCAAACGTTGCAAAATCTCATTTCTCCATATCATAAGGTTTGACACATGTATAATTAAAGTATAGATCATGGACATACTCCTGAAATGAAACACAAACAAGACTGTCAATAACTCATTTATTTTCAACATATCACTTCAGCATTTTGATATCAAATATCTTCACTGAAATATTTGCAGCCACACTCAACAAACCTCCAATACCCTTTAATCTGTAATAATTAAAGAAAGGACTAACAAGCTATACAACAAAATAGTAAAGTCTGTATTGCAAACATTGTCTCTGTTAAATCAACCATTGGTAGGATTATCTATATACAATGTACACACTTAATAACATCCTTTCCTTGGTTTCCTATAAAACCATGGAATGTTAAATATCTAATAATTAGAACTACAATGTAAGTTTGTATTTAGACATAATACTAATGAACTTCGGAACGTGTAACACAGGCTATGTGATCTACATCATAACTGGTCATGTGATATGCACAACCTTCAAAATGAGGTAGATGTGAAAAACCTGTGCACAATACAATTGTATATAATCATGTCAGAACATCATAAACAATAAAAGAAAATTTCCAGGATATGTGCGCAAAATGCCATTGTAAACTATCATACCCAGTTCCCAAACAAGCAAACATCTACTGTAGATCACTAAATTTTCGCAATACCTTATTTTCGCGAGATAGTCATTGACTCTTTATTAGCGAGACAAAATTTTCACAAATTGTGGTTATTGCTTTATATAATCTTAAGAAATACTATTATACGCGAGAATTAAATTTTCGTGAGCCACACTGTCTCGCGTAATTACGCGAAAATAAAGTTCTCACGAATAAAAAGTGATTTACAGTATGTTGTTTTCTTTTCAACCAAATAAGCA